AACCTTGTGCTAAATTTGAAAAGAGATCCATACACTTATACTCCAGTTATTGCCTGCAAACCAGAAAAATAGTTGTTTTCAGCCCCTTTTTGACCCCTAATTATTAAACGGTATGGGTCATGATCCTCCAAAAATCATTCAAAACTTTCCTTTTGAAGTATGGAACCTTGTGGTAAAATTTCATAGAGATCCATACTCTTATACACAAATTATTGTCCTGAAACATGAAAAATGCTTGTTTTTGACCCCTTTTTGGTCCTTTATTACTAAACAGCTACAACAATAACCTTCAAAATAAATCCCAAATTTCCTATTGTGGTATGGAACCTTGTAAAATGTACTTAAATTTAATAGAGATCTATACAGTTATTGTCTGTGACCCAGATAAATAATTGTTTTTGTTAGGCCTTTTTTGGACCCTAATTCCTAAACAGCTATCAAAATAACCCCTAAAATAAGCTCCAACCTTCCTATTGTGGTATGGAACATTGTGCTAAATTTGAATAGAGATCCATACATTTATACTCCAGTTATTGCCTGCAAACCAGAAAAATAGTTGTTTTCAGCCCCTTTTTGACCCCTAATTATTAAACGGTATTGGCCATGATCCTACAAAAATCATTCAAAACTTTCCTTTTGAAGTATGGAACCTTGTGGTAAAATTTCATAGAAATCTATACTCTTATACACCAATTATTGTCCTGAAACATCAAAAATGCTTGTTTTTGGCCCCTAATTACTAAACAGCTACGACAATAACCCCCAACCTTCCTATTGTGGTATGGAACCTTGTGGTAAAATTTAATAGACCTTTTTTGGCCCCTAATTACAAAACCACTAGGACAATAGCCCCCAAAAACAATCCCAACCATCCTTTAGTGGTATAGAACCTTGTGCTACAAATTTGGTAGAGATCCATGAACTTATACTCAAGTTATTGCCTGCGAACCAAAATGTCTTCAGATGCAGATGCAGACAACACCATAACATAATATGAACGCAAGTAAATTTGCGGTCGTATAAAAACTCACATTGGGACGATCATCAGAGATTCACAATATTGAACAGATGCAAAGACTAAGTTCCTCAGTCAGTATAATTCTGCCATTTATAGATAACAATAAAGTATGGGTTTTGCTCATTGTTAAAGGCTAGACTGTACACAAAAGTTGCTTACATCTATGTCATTTAGTCTCTGGTGGATAGTTGTCTCATTGGCTATCATACAGCATTTTCTTATTTCCATAAATGGTGATTATCATTGTCAGGATCAGCTCCCTGCAAATGTTTCAGCTGGTGTACCCTAAGGATCAATACTTGGGTTCAGTTGCTGGGGTCACAAAGAAGAACTCGTTCTATCAGTTGTTGACCATGACCTAAAGGAACTTGATGAGTTGTTAAGAAAATTGCTTATGTCTTTCATTCCTGAAAAAATATCGTGATTTTCTCAAATAATAAGGCACGATCTAATTTTTTTGGTAAGGAATACCAATTGCACAATCTCATAAATACTTAAGAATTGGCGCTAAACATGCTAAATGGAATAAGTATATCTAAAATACAATAAATAGTGTTAAAAAGAAGAAAATTACAAATGTTTTTTTTTTATATTCAGAACAACAATGCATCAGAATTCAATTTGTATGAAGTCTTGTCCCTCCTAATATTCAAAGTACAATAAATTATCCCTTGCAAAATGGACAGGACATTTTTTACCATTTTGCAGGTTTGTTCTCAAATATCCATCATCTATTCAATCAACAATTAGGTAAACAATAGAAAAATCTTTACATTTTCAATTTGAAAAGAAAATCAGAATAAAATAAAAGAAGAATGCGTCCATGGGACACGTATGCCTTCTCTTGTAAATGTGCAAGAGTCAATTTACTACTTCAAACCTTTTGACATTTTGTTTTCTTTGAAGCTTAAAAACATTTGTTTCAGTCTGTTGAGTGGGCAAAACAGCATATTAAGCAATTTTCCATTTAAAAAAGAGGTATAACACAAGAACGGTGAAAGTGGTGTCACCCAAATTTGTATTTGATCTATTTGGTGGAAATAAGCATTGGGTATAAGTTTCAGAACATTTGTGGCAAAATTCAGCAATTTTTCCATTTATAAAGAGACATAACAAGAGAATGGTGAAAGTAAAGCCACCCAAATTTGAACTTTGTCTGTATTTAATGGTAATAGGCAAGAATGGAAACCAATTTCGAGAAGTTCGGACAGACAAGATTAAACCTTAATGCCCCTTTCATTTAGCAGCAGGGGCATACAAAACCAAACAGCACTGACAATCCACTTCTAGGTTATTTGTATGATCCTAGGAAATTATAACTCAAACTCAATTTAGCTGTTAGGCATCTTTCTTTCAACTATGACTTATTGGGGGCTAATACTATATTTGATCAACATGTCGATGTTGGTTGGGTATCAAGGTTATAAACCCTTTCAATTTTTTTTTACTGTTCTTTCCAAATGAGAGGACTAAAATGTGTAATAATCTCAGCTGGCTTCCCCAAGGCTGCAATTTAGATATAAATTTTTTGCTTTAGGGAAAAGTTACTCTTTCCTATGACCAAAATGTTCAATTGTCAAATAAGTCTTAAAATTAATATAAAGAGTTCAAAAAGATTCCTTGTGGTATAATATCAACAAGCATTCTGAGAGTATTGCATGGCAATACATAGTCCCCTACCAGGTAAAAATTCATTTTACTGGAACAAAATGCTAACTTGTTCTATAACTTGTCATGGTGTAAACAAAAAGTAAATATCATGTCAATATCTTCAAGCATGACTAAAAACAGTGTGGAAAACTGATTATATGAGTAAAAAAAACATTAGATATGATTAATAGTTCTCTAAAATTAAATATGATGTAATACACTTGGATGGAGAGTTGTCTCATTGGCACTCATATCTTCCTATATCTATATATCTATTTTCAAATTATAATCAAATATAATTAATAGTTTCAAATATTTTTTCTTTCATTTGTTACAAACTAATATAGATTTGTAACTTATCTATAAAATGTCAACAACTTTTATCTACACAATGTAATGTATTGAAATATATATATTAATAAAAATAGATTATTATCAATTTTTTTTTATATCTATAGCATTCAGAAAATTAGTTTATACTAAATAACAAACAAACCTTCCAAAAAATTCTTCAAATAATTTAACAAAGAATGCCTTTTAAAAAATGAGTTATCTCCCTTTGTACAGAAATATGGTTTAACATAGTACTCTAACATTAGATATGGTCCATAGTTATGGTCCATAACTCTGGACTAAATCATCAGACCGGAACAAAATTCGAACTTGATCTATAACTTGTCATGATAAAACTATATACCAAATATCAAATCAATATCTTCAAGAACGAAGAAAAAAAGTGTGGAAAGCTGATTTGCCGGACTGACGGATGGACAGACAGACAGACGGACGGAGTGCATACCTAAAGTCCCCTTCGACTTCGTCGGTAGGGGACTAACAAAGAAAAAACACACATGGTCATCATTATCTTTGTCATTCTTTATCAACTTTCCCATATTCATTCCAGTTTTGTAATATTAATGCTGTACACAACATATTATGCATGCTCACTTTAATTTTGTATAGTTATTAGTAGATATAAGAAGATGTGGTATGAGTGCCAATGAGACAACTCTCCCTCCAAGTCAAAATTTATAAAAGTAAACCATTATAGGTCACAGTACGGTCTTCAACACGGAGCCTTGGCTCACACCGAACAGTAAGCTATAAAGGGCCCCAAAAAATGTATATTATACTCTGGAGAAGACTGCATAATGTAATAAAATGCTCCGCTGGGCGCAACTTGATATGACCGCAGAGGTCGAACCCTGAACAGTTGGGGAAAGTATGGACACAACATTCAAGCTTGATACAGCACTGAATTTGGATTGTGATTAAATATTTGACACAGCATAGGTTTCTGACACAGAATGAATGTGGTCTAAGAACTTAAAAAATTTGAATTTAGCTATTCGAACCATATCATTATTATTTGCTTTTATATATAAATCAGAAATAACCAATTTAAAATGGAAAATTTTAAAAGAAAAAAAAAATCCCTCCCCCAAATTTTATGAACACCCTTATGATTCATCTCCCCAAACTCAATCCCAGCCTTCCCTTTGTGGTATGGTACCTTGCAGTACAATTTCAGAGAGATCTATACACTTGAACACAAGTTATTGTCTGGAAACTAGAAAAATGATTGTTTTTAGGCCCCTTTTTGGCCCCAAATTCCTAAACGATTAGTGCAGTTACCCCCAAACTCAAACCCAGCTTTCCCTTTGTGATATGGAACCTTGTAGTACAATTTCATAAAGATCCATACACTTACACACAAGTTATTGTCCTGAAACAAGAAAAATGCTTGTTTTTTGCCCCCTAATTCCTAAAATTTTGGGGCAATTACCCCCAAAATCAATCCCAGCCTTCCCTTTGTGGTATGGTACCTTGCAGTACAATTTCAGAAAGATCCATACACTTACACACAAGTTATTATCATGAAACTAGAAAAATGCTTGTTTTTTGCCCCTTTTTTGGCCCCTTATTCCTAAAATTTTGAGGCAATTACCCCAAAATCAATCCCAACATTCCCTTTGTGATATGGAACCTTGTGGTACAATGTCAGAGAGATCCATACACTAACACACAAGTTATGTCTGGAAGTTACAAAAATGCTTATTTTTGGCCCCTTTTTCATTAACTGTTGGTACCATAACCCCCAAAATCAATCCCAACCTTCCTTTTGTGGTATTGAACCTTATGGTAAAATTTCATAGAGATCCATTCACTTAAACTAAAGTTATTGTGCGAAAACCAATGTGTCTTCGGACGACGCCAACGTCATACAAATGTACGACCGCAAATTTTTGCGGTCGTATAAAAATATATCTTTACTAACTTAACAGTATGTCATAGCAACCAATGTAATAATTATAAAGTAACACAACACAAATTATGTGAACATTTTATTTTCCTCAGATCATATTCTTGTGACAGTTCACAAGAAAGCACTTTCATAACATGGACGGTGTAATTTTGAAGGAATGTCATTTTTCCCTATATACTAATAAATTATCTTATTTAAATAAGATATTTGACAAAATTATACCAGAACTAAGAAACTTTTTCAGTATCCTGCTTGTGATATAAAAACCAAAGTAAAACATACAATCAGTATCTTAGTACCATTACCATTATTATAAGCATTTACTTTTTTCTATACTTCAACATAAGATAAAAACAACAAATCATCTATAAATGAATAATCAACATATGATAATTGGTACATGTATTATTTTATAGTGAATTTTTTTCCAACTTTGTAAAAGAGGACATATGTAAGAAAATAAGGTTTTCAGCTTCTTATGTACAAAAAATCTGCACAGTGCATTTCAACCATTTTCTTATAATTTACATTTCTCTTCAATAAAGTTTCAAAAATATTCTACCATAAATCTCTCCCTACATGATTTCTCATAAGGAACCTACACTTAACTAGAGTCAGAAAACTCTTTTCTTTTGGTATGTATGAAAGGATTATTTGATTTGTGGATTGATCTGGAGGTATGAGTTGATTATTACAACCATTTTTGAAATATAAATTATATAGATATTAATAATCTCATAAAAATAGGACGGATTTTTAGAGTGGTGGGATATTAAAAGACTAGAAAACAAAACAAATAAAATACTAACTATCATGCAAATCATATGATCAACTTTTGAGTAAAGTTTTATTTTTTCTCTATTATGATTGATAATAAATGTCTCAATGGTTACTGAAAGGGTGAAAATCAAATTGATATGCTTGGAATTCATATTAATTCTGCTACTCAATGCATCAAATGTCTTTTATTTTCGAATAAAAATTATGAAATACTTAAAAGAAAGCTGAAGACAAAATCAATAGTATCAGATGCAGTTTGCTGATGTAAAGCTCTTGCATAACATGGCCTTATGAATTTATGCTAAAAACATCATATGTATTCTTCACCTAAAGTTTATTTGGGCATATCATTTAATAATTATGCATCAATAACAATCTATTCAACCTTTCAGATTTTCAAAACAACAAAAATCTCATATAAAGATTTATTGGGACATGTGTGGCACCATACACATCTTGTTATTTGGACATATGTGGCACCATAAGCATTGTGTTATTGGGACATGTGGCACCATAAGCATTGTGTTATTGGGACATATGTGGCACCATAAGCATTGTGTTATTGGGACATATGTGGCACCATAAGCATTGTGCTATTGGGACATATGTGGCACCATAAGCATTGTGTTATTGGGACATATGTGGCACCATAAGCATTGTGTTATTGGGACATGTGTGGTACCATAGAAATCTTGCTATTGAGACATGAGTGGTACCATAGAAATCTTGTTATTGGGACATGTGTGGTACCATAGAAATCTTGCTATTGGGACATGAGTGGTACCATAGAAATCTTGTTATTGGTACATGAGTGGTACCATAGAAATCTTGTTATTGGGACATGTGTGATACCATAGAAATCTTGCTATTGGAACATGTGTGGTATCATAGGCACATCTTGTTATTGGGACATGTGTGGCACCATAGGCATCTTATTATCAATGTTCTGTCTAAGAATTAAGGGCAAAGGCTTAGTATACAAAAACATTTATTTTTCTGTGGTTTACATGGGTATATGCCTATATGGGGTACATTAAAACATGAAACCTGTCTTAGGTAACACACCTCAATGTTTTCTGCTTCTTTAATATTATCCATTTTGCATGAATTTTGCGTGTGGTGTACACAATTATAAGCCTGGTATCTTTAACGAGTTTTTGCATTGTTTTAAGTAACTTGTGGACTGATTTAAAACATCATGGACAACACTGTTAAATTCAATTTAAGAAGGGATTTAGTGCATGATACACACAAACTCTATTTCAATTCGTAAAGATAACATTTAAAATTACAAAGACTATTATCATATACTTTTGACTATTCATTTCAATAGCTTTGAAAGCATAAAGATTCAAATCTTTTTCAGGACACACCTTCTAAAGGGGTGAAAATCTTGACCTTTTATGCTAGATTCAAACTTTTTTTTTAAACACGTGCTTTGGTAGTGGTGAGTACAAATATTAATAACAATCCATTGAGTCCAAACATTACTCAACTTATATCGGATATGGGTTGTTGAAGTAATCGACATAGGGTTTGCAAATTTAGACATTTAGTGTGTGACCTCAATCTGTGAGAACAGATTCAAATATCTTTTAGTGACAAACCTTCTATAGTGTTGAAAACTTGTAACTGGTTTCATCAATCAGTCCTTAGGGGTACCAGTATTTAAGATATGGAGTAGACATTATTCATAAACAAAGACCTAGGGAGGGCAACTTTCAAATGTTTGTGACCATGACCTTTTAGCTAGAGATTCAAAACATTTTCATAACACATCTTCTGGTAGTGGTTAATACTCCAAGGGGTACTCAAGATATAGAGTGGACACTGTTCGTTGGCTGCACTGACATGCAAACCCAAATAAGAATAAAGACAGATCACTACAAGCCAATCATCATAGATGGCCTAATTAATCTTTTTCCTAAAATTTAACTTGTGAAATATATTTTTAGTTTACGAGTCTACCAAATAAAACTACTAAAGATGTCTGCACTTAATCTAAAATATCGGTAGTTGATCTGTTTTCAGTGTATTTTTTTCAGATTTTAAAAAGTTCTATAGTCAGAAATCCAATTTAAAATAAACTGTTAACACAAAGATATTTCTAGCCTGTCGGCATAAAATTCAGAAAAGACAATCTAATGGACAGCAACATTGCTTATTAATTTAAAGTCGCTAGACCATGATCTAGTGGGAAGGGCCTCGGAATGGTCAACAAACTGAGATGTACAGTAATGTAACTTTATAGAAAATATTGTAGTCTATTGTAAGTAGTTCAGATCAATCTAACTTAAGAACTTAACTTAAGAAGTTGAGCAGACAAACGGTGAATGGACAGTAAAGGATATTCAAAATTGAACAAAACTTGACTGAGTTCAACTACTCTAAATTTTGTGTTGAGTTCTTAAAAAAATTAAAAAAAACCTAACAATAAGCAAAATTTACTACCTAAAAAATGAAGGAGTTATGCAGAAAAACTATGTATCCTTTAGGGGACAGATGGACACAGACATAATCACAAGGGTAAAATAATATGTCCCCCAAAAAATGTATAAAAAAACGAAATAGTAACAAAAGGAAGAAAAAATAATTTACGATATACATAACCTGAATAATTCAGTCCTTCCCCTGATGGACTCTCCTACTCCTGGGCCCTGAACACTTTATACAGTACAAACGTGTCATTAATCCAGATTTTGATGGCACTCTCCAGATGAGAGAGCCAACCAGCTTGTAGTAAAATGATCTCAAGATGGGTAACTACGGAGCTAATTTGAATAATTAATTGACAAATTGTCATTGACTAGGGCTTCAGGCAGAAGAATATAACAGCTGAATTATTCTGGTTACAAAATACCTTGAAAGTTACTGATACAAACTAAATTTTCAAACATATTAACATTCTAACATATAATTATAAAATTATCTTGGTTCATGCATGTGGCTGATGTTGTCTGAAGCAAAAACTCAAATTTAGAAAAAAATAGTGAAAGCTATGAATTTTCTTGATCATTATGTGCATTGAAGCAAACTATTGTGGAGTAGTGACATCTGTATTTACAAGTTATCTATATACATGCAAGGACATTTCAATATAAAATTATCTACAATGTTTACATAATTACATATAATTTGATCTATAATCTAAAATAAATACTATATAATAATATATATAATCATGAGAATCAACAAGATAACGCACATTAATAAAAAAAATTGAACATCAAGTCATTAAACAGACCTTATTTTCAGCTCTTATCTTGTATACTCATTGTATTTTCAAAGTCAATTCAAATAAAAAATTGGACGAGAATAGTTGCAAGTAAGGCAAAATATTACAGACATCACACACTGCTAATTCATATACTGCAATATATCACTTAAAAACACAAATATATACCATGTATCATGAGTATTACTTGCACCCATTTGGTACCAGAAAAATTTATCAAAGGTATAAAAAGGCCACTTTTTGGCCCTTTGAAATCGAAAATTAAAAATAATTGAAATCTACCATTATTACATTTAGTGCGAAACAGAAAAAACTGTCAAATTAGCCTCATTTTCACATCTAGTCATTCATTTTTGGAAATGTGGAACAGCTTTACCCAAAAAGATGGTTTGCTACAAAATGTATTTTACAAAAATCATAATGTATGAAAAATATATTTTTTGGTGCTGTTGCTCAAAAATATTTTGATTATAAACTATGGGTTAAATGGGAATTTTAGGTCAAATACGTGGATCATTAACTTTATCCATATGTCAACAGTTCAGAATCTCTTTGCCGCCTAAACAATAACCCCTCAACTTTGTCCAGTTAAGAGTTGAAAATAAGGATTCTTACATAAAACAAATTTACATGAAATAATTGCACATAACCAACATTTAAAAAAGTGACTAATGAGAACAAACACATGTCCAAAATAACTTGTTACATTTCATACAACCTCATTGAATTATGACATTCTATGGTAACTTAACTCTAATCTTTTAACATTTATAGCTGCTACTGAAATTGATGTATTTGGAACCTCTGTAAATCTCTTAACTCTAATCTTTCAACATTTATAGCTACTACTGAAATTGATGTATTTGGAACGTCCGTAAATCTCAACTTTGCTTTAAATCATAATAGGGGTAAACATTACTACAACCAACTATGTGACTCAAAATGAAGTATTAACAGATGTCATGGTCATATATGGTATGATCAATACAATCCATTTACAAACTATTCCATGCTTTCCAAATTTGCATTTCATTGGATTTTGGTACATTAAGTATTGTTAAACAAAAATTTAACATTAAATCAATTAAAAATCCAACACCTTGGAGTCTTCAATAACATCCAATTAACAATTAAGTTTACCTCTATTCTTGAGTAAATCTTAAAGTTGAATATTCTTAACCCCTTATTAAATTAAACCCTAATGCAGCATATATATGAAGGATATCAAAATAATTACAACTATTGTCACTCTAAGTAAAAGAGACACATACATTTTGTAGTAAGGGGTAAACTAAAATATTTACCTTACAACTACTTAAAAATCAAACTTTTGATAGTTTTGAAAAAAACCAGTCACTAAAAATTAAATGGCTCCCAAATATTAATAATACATTACCATGGAAAGGTAGCAATCCAGATAGTGAAAATGCTTTTATTAATAGCCCTAAAAACATTTATTCTGCTTATTGTCAGAATGTAAAATGAAACATATGTTGCTGAATCAAATAATAACCTGATGATAAAATTGTATGTAAAAATAAGACACATATTCTAATCTTTCACACAATAAACAGATAATGCAATTTTTTAAATTAAGAAATTTGTCTTCATGCATATCCTGTATCCAACTCTGGAGATGAGCACTTTTAATATGTTTAAAGCTGATATTTTATACATTCACACTGAATTTATTCACAGGCAAGTTTGCTGTCAAAACTACTAATTGCTATTCCAAAAGCTTGTAATGCACATAAAGGATAATTAAAATCCATTGTAAATACATCTTCTGCAACACGTCCAAACTGCATCACTATATATTCAACTGAAAAATAAATAAAGGTTATATCAAGAATATATTCTTTCCTAAGTGTAAATTTTTCAAAGCTCCAAAAGAGAGATTTCCCTCTGACAAAGATGTTTTGAAGAGAGATTTACCATACTACACTATACATGTAGGTATTGGTAATAAACAAAATAATGAAAGCTATGTTTTTTTTATTTTTAGGATCTAGTGCTTTCTTACAAATTTGTTTCAAGCTTTCTTTCAAATGAGATAAAGAGATTTATTGCAGAAGTATGATTCAGCCTGCAGGATGTTATTTTTATTTTTGGCTTTGTAGACATATTAATAAACCTATTATCTTACTGCTGTTTATCAATCATTGTGTCTTGTATTTTTGGGGATGAACAAAATTTTGTCGTCCTGAATTGAGCAAATTGAAATCAATCAGGTACAGTTACCTATATTATAATGAAACTTATGAAAGCCTTAATTTCATGATTTTGAGCTTTTTTCAATGAACTATGTGTATCTATTGATTACTGTTTTACTAGAATTTATAATTTTGTTTAAAATCTAAAATGGAATGGAAGGGATATGGTGTATCAATTCATGGACAAAATTACTATGTGAACATGAGATCTGGCAATATTTAGTTTAACACCACCTGTTCCAAGTCCGGAACAACATCAGTGGTTGTCATTTATTATATATTTAGAGTTTTGTCATTTAGGGAATTTTAAATTGATCACAGAACTTTCTGTCTCTTGGCGATCCAGAACCTAAAATAATGTTAGGACACATTCCTGTCTGTTGTTTTTTTGTGTAATTGGATTGGTGACTTGTTTGGCATCAACCCATCATCTCTTTTTATTCATATTTGACATAAAAACCAGACTATCCAGACATTTGAAGTTAATGTTAATCAACCCATTGACCATATTAAAATCCTGGCAGTTGTCAGTATGCAGACTGAATGCAACACTCTTCAGTCTTCATTTAAAATGGATGAAAAGGCAATAAGTAAAAATTTATTCACAATCAAAATGGGTTTACCAGCAATTATAAGGAAAATGATGAAAGTTCTGTTGTCTACAAGGTTTTGTCTTTGTAAATGTCAGTGCCATTAATCAGCTGAACATTTGTAATTTTTAGCTGATCACTAATGATCACAATTGTTCCCCTTTTAGAATGAGGCTAAATTGGGAATAAACAACCTTTTTGTACAAGGCTTTTTCATGGTAAATGAACTGGGAAAATTAAATGGTCATCAACTTAACCATTGATGTTGGCAGGTATGAAACTGTCTTTCTGCAAATTTACCAATATGTTTTATGCATATACAATATTTTACTTACCATCATTATCATGAACAATCTGGAAATTTTTCACTGAAGCCTGGGTTACTCTACCATGGAAATTTAATACATATGACTGTGTTTCTGAAATAACATCAAAATTTTACTGAATACAGGTGCCTTGAAATAATAAAAGTAAAAAGCATGAAACTAACTACTTCAAATACAACTCATATCTGATAACTGACTGTAAACCAACTTGTTTTCAATTATACTTTATTAAGGTCATGCCCTTTAAAGCCAATTTCAAAGAAATTTATTTTCTTGATTTTCTATGAAAAAAATATGTCTTAAAACCCTGAAAGAATCAAGATTTACTTCTATTTTTGGACAACTTATATTTGCATTATTTTCTTACTTCTGAAAGTTAATTCTGCAAGAAACTAAGTTGGTTTACAGTATCACATTTAAACATTTCAATAATTTTGTGAAAAATAAGATTAAACAAACACTAAATCTGTTGGATGTGTACTAATTGATATTTTATTCTTGGAAAAAACATTGCATAATTATTAAAACATGGTTTAACTTTTACTTGAAATTGGCTTTTAACAAATTTTCAGTTACTGTGTGTACTCTTAGAAAGGTACTTTGGTTATTATGTCTTGATGTACTTCATGACCATCTGATTGATTAATCCCTTTCCGACTGATTTTTTACAGTTTATTCTTATGTTGTGCTGTTACAACACTGTTCCAGGGTAGGAGGAGAGTTGAATACTCACAAACATGTTTAAAGACCAAACAGCCTATTCAGTGGTACCTGTGATTTTTTTCTTTAAATTTTGTGTGAAGGTAACTCATGATTTTAGGAACATAATATGAGGAAAAAAATGTGGGTCACTGACTTCATTTTTTCACTATAGCAACCTCAGTTTCGTGTTTTTCCCCAATTTGAACAATATTTGGCTGTTATTTAAAAATTCTAATTATCTAATAATACCGAACCTAAAAGCATAATTCTTTTTTCACGGTATACAGAAGATTGGTATTTCTCAATTAAAGATTCTAGAGTTTACGATTTTTGGTGTTTTGATCTAAAAAAGTATGATTTATTTCATTCCCACGCAAAATAATACATAAAAATGAAAAATGTTTCCAGTATTAACAAATATCTACCAGTGATTTCTTCATAAAAATGTCAAGAAGGAAATTGCTTTGTGTACTCAAAAGTTTTTAGCAATTTGACTTCTTTTTTTCTCATTAGTTTTTAAGAATAGAGTTGTATTTCTTCGGAACATTGAATCGAACTTCATAATACAAGTTTCCCACAATTTTCACAAATATGGCAAATTGGATGTTTGAAACCCACATCAAAAGTTTCAATAATAACAAAAATATACACCTACTTATTATCCTGTTAAAGAGATTAAATTTATATATCAGTATTTGTCATATCTGATTCTGTTGCCGTACAAAATCAGCCTTCCGCTTTTAACAGAAAAGTTTATTTTAGCTCCTACCTGTTTGTTTCAAAATAATGGAACAAAACAAAAAAAACAAAAAAAATGATGACACTGATTATGACTATTGGACTATATTATACTATAGAAGTGTTGTCTTTTTTTGCTCGTCACTTTCAAAAGTTTGCCCCAGCACACTTTTCAGTCTACTCTTTCGCCACTGTGTTTGCGGATAAATAAGTCCTGACTAAGACAGAGTATAAATCTATTTTTCACTAGCTATTCTTGGAGCACAATCCCAATTTTCTTGACAAAATGTATTTGGACGCATCCGTCGAAATACCTGATACGAGATGTTCAAATCTGCAGAGCTGGAAACAACGTCATAGATCTTTTATGTCACAATCAAGTTGCACTAGCTTATGCACACAAACAATAGTCTTTTTGGTCTTTAACCCCAACAAATTCTTTATGTGCTGGTCTGCCAATATTTGTTTTTCTTTTGTTTTTAGCATGTGATTGGTTTTATCTTTTTTGAATTGTTTCACATTTTGTCATGCCTGAGCCTTTTATAGCTGTACCTATAGTTGTTTATATTCTCGTCCCTTGGTCACTTGTCGATAGTCGCATTGGCAATCATACCACATGTCCCTATTTTCATAGTAAGTCTATTTCATCATATGAAATTTACTGGTTATTTTAATGTTAAGGAAATTATTAAACCAATGCATGCATATAAACTTATCTTAGTCCTCTATGCATTGTTTGTTTTACTTTCATAACAAAAAATATTCATTTGTTGATCGAAAATTTTTGATGCTAATCAATTTTGGGTTTTTTTGTGTAGAAGTTTACCGCATGTGACCTATAATAAGTGAGATAATAGAGCAATGTTTATTTGTTTTGTTTTTCTAACATTTTTCATTTGTTCTATTTGTAAATCAAATTTTGTCATAACAGTTGTTAAATGATTGGTGTATACAAATTTTCTTTCCTTCCATGTTTGTTTCCATATTCTCCTGCCATTTTTTACCTTTGCACTTGCACAATTTGACTGATGAATCTCTGAGGAGAGATGTTGTGAGTAAGGTCACTATACATACAGAAAAGTAGTTGGTGAATAACAGTAAGGGGACAATAATTCAATATCAGTACATTTCTGAAGATTTTAATAAAATTAAGGATTTTCTTTTAAAAAAAAGTCTATGTACACATATTTTATAGTAAAACTGTAAAAAAGTAAAAATTGCCATTCAAGTGTATAAAAAATATTCATCATTTTTGTTAAATTTGAAGGATCATATGACTTTAAGGGATGAATTTCAAGCCTTTACTAACCATCATTCCATACAGGTGTTTTATTATGAAGCTCAAGTATATTTTCCATGTTTTTCCTTTTCCATCTGTTTATTAAACCATCATTATCCTAAAACAGAATTGTAAACAATCAAGAGTTGTCAGCAGTTATAAACAATATCCTAAAACAGAATTGTAAACAATCAAGAGTTGTCAGCAGTTATAAACAATATCCTAAAACAGAATTGTAAACAATCAAGAGTTGTCAGCAGTTATAAACAATATCCTAAAACAGAATTGTAAACAATCAAGAGTTGTCAGCAGTTATAAACAATATCCTAAAACAGAATTGTAAACAATCAAGAGTTGTCAGCAGTTATAAACAATATCCTAAAACAGAATGGTAAACAATCAAGAGTTGTCAGCAGTTATAAACAATATCCTAAAACAGAATTGTAAACCATCAAGAGTTGTCAGCAGTTATATAAACAATATCCTAAAACAGAATTGTAAACAATCAAGAGTTGTCAGCAGTTATAAACAATATCCTAAAACAGAATTGTAAACCATCAAGAGTTGTCAGCAGTTATAAACAATATCCTAAAACAGAATTGTAAACAATCAAGAGTTGTCAGCAGTCATAAACAATATCCTAAAACAGAATTGTAAACCATCAAGAGTTGTCAGCAGTTATAAACAATATCCTAAAACAGAATTGTAAACAATCAAGAGTTGTCAGCAGTTATAAACAATATCCTAAAACAGAATTGTAAACCAACAAGAGTTGTCAGCAGTTATAAGCAATATCCTAAAACAGAATTGTAAACAATCAAGAGTTGTCAGCAGTTATAAACAATATCCTAAAACAGAATTGTAAACAATCAAGAGTTGTCAGCAGTTATAAACAATATCCTAAAACAGAATTGTAAACCAACAAGAGTTGTCAGCAGTTATAAACAATATCCTAAAACAGAATTGTAAACCATCAAGAGTTGTCAGCAGTTATAAACAATATCCTAAAACAGAATTGTAAACAATCAAGAGTTGTCAGCAGTTATAAACAATATCCTAAAACAGAATTGTAAACCATCAAGAGTTGTCAGCAGTTATAAACAATATCCTAAAACAGAATTGTAAACCATCAAGAGTTGTCAGCAGTTATAAACAATATCCTAAAACAGAATTGTAAACAATCAAAAGTTGTCAGCAGTTATAAACAATATCCTAAAACAGAATTGTAAACCATCAAGAGTTGTCAGCAGTTATAAACAATATCCTAAAACAGAATTGTAAACCATCAAGAGTTGTCAGCAGTTATAAACAATATCCTAAAACAGAATTGTAAACCATCAAGAGTTGTCAGCAGTTATAAACAATATCCTAAAACAGAATTGTAAACAATCAAGAGTTGTCAGCAGTTATAAACAATATCCTAAAACAGAATTGTAAACAATCAAGAGTTGTCAGCAGTCATAAACAATATCCTAAAACAGAATTGTAAACAATCAAGAGTTGTCAGCAGTTATAAACAATATAATTGTTCCAATTAGTTAATTACAGTAATCACAAATGCTCCTTTTTCTATTTTTATTGCGGTTGTAAAACCACTGGTAAATTTACCGGCCAAATAAACCCAAAAAATGTGCCTTCTCCTGCCTAATCAAATCTTTTAACCCATGACACTTTAGCTAAGGTTTTCAGTAATTTGTTTTAATCAAATCTACGACTTAAGATATTGTTTTAAGAGCATCTATAGGTGTAACCATTTTAATATTGTAGCATTAACTTTGTATCTTGTTCTTTTTTAAAGCCGGTATTAAGGGGTCCAGAAAGGAGAGTAATGACTGAAATTTATACTCAATTGACTATAAAAGAAATCAGAACCCCAACATTATCATTTATTAAAATGAGTAATTTTTTAATAAATTTTGTCACCAGCATGTTACCATTTAAATATGGACCATTTTGGTGCATTCACAATATACTAGCAAATTATAAAACATGTCTTATATTCTCCAAAAAATTTTGGTGTTCATTTGATTACTTTGAAAACATCATTTCACCATAGAAGCCCATACACACATTTGAAATTTGTCTTAACACAGAAAACAAAGGTAAATGTGACTTCCCAATGGTTTAAATGGGAACCTTTAAAGCATTATTGCTGAATAAAACTGATAAAATAATATAAAGAATAGCCTCTAGCAGTTATGTTTATGGTCCAATCTAAACGAAAAAGAATTGATTTCAGTAAGAATTCTATACTGTAAATTCAGAAATTATTGCGATGTTTTTATTATTGCGAAAAATGCGACAGGGTTATAATCGCAATAATTCAAACTCGCATTTTTAAATATTTAATATGAATTAAACAGGATTTTTCTCAATATCGCAAAAATTAAAATCGCATTTTAGTGTAAAATGACAAAATCGCAATAATAAATGCACGCAATAATTTCTGAATTTACAGTATATATATATCTGTACATGCAAGTTTAAACAATTTGAATCTCAGAGGGTACATCTCCAATTCATAATCTTCCTCCAAGCTACAGCTTATTTATCTTGGCTTTTATATTAAGTTTTATTTGTCCAAATATCAATTAGTGTATTATCTAAAATACATTTGTTTGTCCATTAAATATTCTTAAAATAACACCATTCATTTGTACATCAAAGGTGCCATCAGATTTGTGTGTTCGAAGATTTACCTTGGATTTACCTTACTTTTGAATTACATTCAGTTCCACATCAACCAAAAAAATCATTTAAAAATTTGGAATCCAACAAAATCAATAATCTTAACTGTCAAAATTGACACCAGCTGTATAGCCGTACAGTACTGATCAAATAAGCCTAATTGCTACAGAGGAGATGATGAAAGTTAAAACAAAACTGATACAAATTAATAGTACACATGTAATAGATGTTTGGGCCAAATGTTTGTAAAAAACTTACAGATCTGGGTTTAATGTCAACTCGTTCATGGTCCAAATTCATACCAGGTATGATAATGGTCATCTTTCTTGGCCCCTTAAATCCTAACACATTTGTTTCCTGTTAAAACAATAAATGATATTAATTGTTACAAAGAGAAAAATTTGCAATAGTAAAAATTGGAAATTTGTAAGCATTGACAATGGCATCAAAAATATGAGCTGAAATTTTCAAAAGAATGTTCATCAATAGGGAGATATTCAGCTTCTTGGACTTTTTATTGATGTATAGATTTAACTATAAACAAGTTATTTATATTTAGCTATATGTTATACTTATAGCCAAAAGAAACATAATCAGGAATGGGGTCATTTACTGTAAATAGCAATTAATTAGATTACAACTACTTCACTAATTTAACATAATTAATTTCATTAAAATGACACCTAAATTTAAAAGTGATCGTTAACATTAGATTACTTTTGTTTAAAGTAATCACGACTACATTTGATTACATTGTATAAAATCAGACAAAAGAATTTTGGATAATTAAAAATCAAACTGCATTAATTGCAAAAACCAATAAGGTTCTATGTAGTCTATTATGTTCATTATTTATACGATTGTATAAAAAAAATCTATATTGGATACTTAGATAACACAAACACAAATTTCTTATGAAAAACAAAATTTATACAAATGTAAAAAAAAAAAAAAAAAGAATTTGGCTCTAAATTACATTATTATTCAAGAGGGCTCATTTATGTCGATTACCAAATTCAAAATTGGAATCAAATCCCCCGAATTAACTTTCTATGCAATTGAATGTCCATGTAGTAGCATTTTTATTCTCTAAAATTAAGAGTTATTATCAAAAGTGTTCCATTAGGGAATATTTAATGTTTGCAAAGAAGACATTATATCACAGACTCAATCTCAAAATGTAACATTTGGAAAAATAAATTCATTTCGTGAACTGCAATTGCAAAAATTGTTAAATAGTAAATAAGATCAATCATGTTGAACCATGATTGACCATAGACAACACTTGTTTGATTAATTTTTTATTCATGCTAGTATATCAGAAACAATTTTCACCTACAAAATTTGTAACCAGGAATTAATCATATAAAGGTAATCCAAATGTAATCGTGATTACAGCTTTTTTTTTGGCACTGTAATAGATTCTTGTATATTGCTATTATGTAATCATTTTAGTTATTTCCTGTTGTTTATTGCAAAACAAAGAGAACAGGAACAACTGAAATTATATATTATTAAAAAATCGACTTCAGAAAAAAGAATGTCAAGCAACAAATTAACTTTATGTTGACATGTATGTTATACATTGACATTCAAAGTAATCTGAACATTATTTAAAAAGGAATTCATGGTTGAGATCAGAACAGTAAATTTCAAAGAATTATACTTACATAAACTACACCTATCAGTTCTTTCCTTGCATTTTCATAATTATCCTTAGGATTGCATCCATGGTCAAATAATGTAAAATGTGTTCCCAATATATTTGACCTACAAATATAAGTTAAGCATTTTCTATTGCAACACCATTTCTACTGGCTGTCTAAACATCTCATTAAAACTGATCTCTGCCCTACACAACCCTACCATATTTTATTTACAAATTAGGAAGACAACTTACAATAAAACATTTATAACCAATCCATAAATAAAGCAGTAGGGGCATTTTAAAAGGCCTGGTTTTGGCCCAAGAAAATAAAATGTTTGATAACTATTTCAAATTGGCACATAATGTTTAGAAATGCATAGGGTCAAGAAATATAAATGAAAAACATAAAGATTTTTATCTGATGATGTCACAATTACGTCACAATATGTACTGTTTTCACAAAAACGATGAAAAATGCAGAATTTATGCAGTTTTCCATCGTTATTTCCATTGTTGAAACATCCTGCGCAGCCAAGAAACAACAAAATAATTTGAGAGAAGCTTTACTATAACTATTGACATAATATCACCAAATATAAAGTTGTTTCTTGGGTGCGCACATACTTTTCCAATCTAACATATACTTAAAATTTGATGAAAAACAAGAAAAATCAAGAAATTTTACAAAATATGCAAATTTAGTCATGGTTTGTTGCCATGGTAACTCCTTCAATGTGAAATTTGTTTTTATTTTCTGAATACCTTGTACCTTAGTCTAGTTTGGAGTAATTTAAAAATATGTATGATAACTTTTAAATTTGCAGTAATATTTGGGCCAAATAAGGGCCTTATTGCCCCTACTCCTTTTGGCATGTGAAATGTGATCAGAACGCATTGACCATATTTTGCAGGGTAACCACAAAGTAAACCTTAATATTGATATGTTTAACATAATGATCAATACACCAATCGAGTTGTTTTTATGAATGAGATACAAAATCAACATTTGATTGGTGAACTATGCCACATGAGCTAAACTTCATATTCCCCTCTAAACATCAGGACTATCTCGTGCCACGTTATGCACAGTTTATGTAACATTTTGAATGTTTATTTAAATAGCGATAGCATAGTCATTATCCTGTTCAAAATTATTTCACTAAAAAAAAAAAATAGAGAAAAACTTGAACTTGTCATAGAATAAATGATTAACTTTTGATCTGTAGTACTATAAAAACATCTTCTTTCTATTCATATTGCATACCTGCACACAAAGAATACCAATTGTGACTACTTCTTATGGAACATTAGGACTAATTTTAATTTTGCATAAAAAAGAAATTACATAAACTTGTAACTAAATTGCATTAAGAGGCAGGTCAAGAACTGCACAAAAAATAAATTTCACTAAGAATAGTTTCATCGTCCTAATGAAATTACACACTACATATATGATACAGTCTATCATCTTAAAAGTTAATGATTAATTTTTGTGTTCTTCAACAGAACATATGTATAGGATGCAACATTATACTTATATCAAAACTTCACCATCTTAATCAATACCTCAATTTCCCTACATAGGATTCTCCACCACGTGATAAATCTGTTGGATCTGTTGAAATTAAATAGTTAGATGGATAGCTTTTCTTCCTTTTCCTACCAGCTAATAAAAATGTCTGTAAAATAAAATCAATTTAACATAAAAGTACATTTCAAATATGACATCGGCGTCATAGCTAGATGTTCCTAACTTTTTATATAATACAGTGTACTAGTCTAATAACAATGTCTACACATGTTAAATTACCATCACACTGACAGGTGACTGAAATGTCAGACAATTCCAAGGCTTAGAAGAAATATCAATGGTCTGAGAGTGTCAATACATGTATCTTACAATAAACCAAAAATTAAGAAATTCCTTTAACACTTATAAAAAAACTGTCAAATCAAAATGGTGGTATGATGAGGTCAACTGAACAAACAACTGGGGTGGAGGAGGGGGTATACAAATGGTAAAATCCAATAACTCCTGAAAAAATTGGTAAATAAAAAATTTGTAAGGGGTTCCGTGGAACCCTCGATCTCACCAGCTATTGCTTCTGTCAGTGTAAAAGTGTAATGTTGACTTAAAAAGTGAGTCCATTTATCAGTAAAATACAGAATTTAAAAATTTTCAAACTTTTTCAGTAGATGCTATTTCTTGGTCTTGAAGATTAGCTTCTGTCCAAGTTTCATAATAATCCATGAAGGTTTACAAATTTATCATGTCAAAAAAATTTAATCCGAGACTGTCTGTGATTGTTAACTGTAAACAAAGTGCTTGCAAGCACTGAAAGGTAAAAAAATTCATGGATAGGATGTTTAGAATGATATGATCAATGCACTATATTTTGTGTATCTCAAAAGTAGTGAAAAACCTTGGAAGATTTAGATATCAAGTCAGTATCATAAGGTTTCGATTGCATTTCATGCAATTTTTACCCAAAAACAAAGTCCTTCTATTAGAAAAATACTATAAATGAAAAACTTATATTTTCAAAGGTTTGCTTCCGACATTATCTCTTAATCATTAAAAAGTTTCTGCCAAAGTTTCATAAAACTCTTTGAAGGTTTGACAAAGTAATTGATGTGTAACAAACTTTAACCCCAGACTGTATCTACTTGTTAACTGTAAAAAAACTTAGTCCATTTATAAGTAAAATATGGAAAAATTTGTAAGGGTTTCGCGGAACCCAGTGTCTTGCCTACTTTTGCTGTTGTCTATGTTTTCAGTGTGATAGGGGAATGCACATAATCGATTTACAGTTAATGAAATAAAACGTTTGAAATGTATGAAAAATATACGGAAAAACAGGAAATAATATATTTTTACAAAATTTCCTTCTAGATACTAGCTTTAGATCATAAACAAGCTTCTGTCCAAGTTTGGTAGAAATCCAGGATAGTTTAAGAAAGTTATTAAAATTTTAAAACCTTTAACCACAGAGTGAATGTAATATTAACTGGCAGAAGAACAAAGTCCATTTATAGTAAAATACGGATAAACAGGATTTTTTTTTTACAAAATTTACTTCTGGATACTATCTTATGATCATAAACAAGCTTCTGTCCAAGTTTGGTAGAGATCCAGGATAGTTTAAGATAGTTATTAAAATTTCAAAACTTTAACCACCGACGGGATGTAGGATCGCTATGTCTCGCTTTTGCAACAAAAGTAGCAGGCTCGACAAAAATGAAAATAAATATTTTCAAAATTTCGCTCTGGGTACTGTCTATTGGTCATAAACAAGCTTCTGTCCAAATTTCATAAAATTCCATGTAGGTTTGATAAAGTTATTGATGCCTAAAAAAACTTAACCACAGACTGAACCTAAATGTTGACACCGCCAAAGCCGACGACAGAATCTAGGATCGCTATGTCTCACTTTCACGAAATAAATTTCACAGGCTGGACAAAAATGTTGATACAGTATGGTCAATTATTGATGTTGACAAACAATTATACAATGTATGAAACCTTTATGGGCAAATAGATATAAGAAGATGTGGTATGAGTGCCAATGAGACAACTCTCCATCCAAGTCACAATTTGTAAAAGTAAACCATTATAGGTCAAAGTACTGCCTTCAACATGGAGCCATAGTTCACACAGAACAGCAAAGTATAAAGGGCCCCAAAAATGACTAGTGTAAAACCATTATCAATACTCAATATCAAAGCATGGTTTCTCTTATTTACCTATTCCACCAAAATAATAATAATAATATTTATATAAATATCAGCAAAGCTATGTCTACTCAATGGTAATGGTCAAAAATGAAACAAATACCATTTTATATAACTCACTTTTTTGCCATCTTCTCTTTCTAGATGTAAGTAGTATGTGGGATAAACTCCTCTATCTATGCCTTTTTTATCTCGTGTTATTCGACATTTGATGACTTGACCCTGAGGTGCTGGCTGTAATACATAGTCATCTAATTTTTCTATCCCTTCTGGTGTAAAGCTACGACCAGTAGCTCCTAATTCAGAATCATCCCCATTTGTAGTTCCCTAAAATATAAAACAAGATTGAGCTTTATAGTAGATATTGTATGCCAGAAAATGAGACCATTATTAAACAAGAGTGCACACGCTGAAATGTCTCGCCTTCTTTACTAATCATTGATATTATGTTGATAGTCCAAAATATAAAGCTTTATTACAACTGTCACATAAACTTATCATTAACCAAGTAAACTAAACATTGACCAATGAACCATGAAAATGAGGTCAAGGTCAGATGAACCATGCTAGGCAGGCATGTACAGCTAACAATTCTTCCATACAACAAATATAGTTGACCTATTGCTTATAGTTTAAGAAAAACAAACGAAAACACAAAAACTTTAACACTGAGCAATGAACCTTGAAAATGAGGTCAAGGTCAAATAAAACCTGCGTGACTGACATATAGTTCTTAAAATATTTCCATACACCAAATATAGTTGAACTATTGCATATAGTATTAGAAAAAAAGACCCAAAACTCAAAAACTTAACTTTGACCACTGAACCATGAAAATGAGGTCAAGGTAAGATGACACCTGCCAGCTAGACATGTACACCTTACAATCATTCCATACACCAAATATAGCTGACCTATTGCATGCAGTATTAGAAAAAAAGACCAAAACTCAAAAACTTAACTTTGACCACTGAACCATGAAAATGAGGTCAAGGTCAGATGACACCTGCCCGCTAGACATGTACACCTTACAATCATTCCATACACCAAATACAGTAGACCTATTGCATACAGTATAAGAAAAACAGACCAAAACACAAAAACTTAACTATAGCCACTGAACCATAAAAATGAGGTCAAGGTCAGATGACACCTGCCAGCTAGACATGTACACCTTACAGTCCTTCCATACACTGAATATACTAGACCTATTGCTTATAGTATCTGAGATATGGACTTGACCACCAAAACTTAACCTTGTTCATTGATCCATGAAATGAGGTCGAGGTCAAGTGAAAACTGTGTGACGGGCATGAGGACCTTGCAAGGTACGCACATACCAAATATAGTTGAACTATTGCATATAGTATTAGAAAAAAAGACCAAAACTCAAAAACTTAACTTTGACCACTGAACCATGAAAATGAGGTCAAGGTCAGATGACACCTGCCCGCTAGACATGTACACCTTACAATCATCCCATACACCAAATATAGTAGACCTATTGCATACAGTATACGAAAAACAGACCAAAACACAAAAACTTAACTATAACCACTGAACCATGAAAATGAGGTCAAGGTCAGATGACACCTGCCAGTTGGACATGTACACCTTACAGTCCTTCCATACACCGAATATACTAGACCTATTGCTTATAGTATCTGAGATATGGACTTGACCACGAAAACTTAACCTTGTTCACTGATCCATGAAATGAGGTCGAGGTCAAGTGAAAACTGTCTGATGGGCATGAGGACCTTGCAAGGTACGCACATACCAAATATAGTTAACCTATTACTTATAATAAGAGAGAATTTAACATTACAAAAAATCTGAACTTTTTTTTCAAGTAGTCACTGAACCATGAAAATGAGGTCAAGGACATTGGACATGTGACTGACGGAAACTTCGTAACATGAGGCATCCATATACAAAGTATGAAGCATCCAGGTCTTCCATTTTCTAAAATATAAAGCTTTTAAGAAGTTAGCTAACGCCGCCGCCGCCGCCGCCGGATCACTATCCCTATGTCGAGCTTTCTGCGACAAAAGTCGCAGGCTCGACAAAAATTGGATCCTAAATGTTATAGTTAAAGCAGTAATCTACATATGATCATTAAATCATGCATGAATATTTCATTCAATCTGGATAAGCAAACTGTGTAAATGTGGAAATTTTCGTTATTTTTGCTAAGTTCGAGATCACGTAAAATCTGCATAAATATCCCCCAATGCAAATAGAAAAGAGAATGGAAACTAGGAATGTGTCAAAGAGATAACAACCTGACCAATGAGCAGAAAACAGCCAAAGGCCACCAATATGTCAGAGGCTAGAGTTTCCTGACTTGGGACAGGCACAAAAATGTGGCGGGGTTAAACATGTTTTGTGAGATCTCAACCCTCCCCCTTTACCTCTAGCCAATGTGGAATAAACAAACACACAGCAATACCCACAGTAAAACTCATTTTAAAAGAAGTCAGAGTCCAATGTTAGAATAAGTAACAGAGGAAACTAAGCAAAATGACAATCATCAACATAAATTAACAAAGGACTACTTACAGTTACTGACATGCCAGCTACAGACCTCAATTAAACTGAACGAAAGATTATGTCTTCATCATATGAAAATCAATTACAATCCCTCCTGTTAGGGGTTTAGTATCATACCATCATAAATAATATGAGAAGAACATACCTCGTATCATGCCAACAACTGGTTTTAGAATGAACTTGTTAATTATGGATGCAAAGACCCTATGAGTGAATCAATATTAATTCCAAAATATGTCAACTTTAATGACTTGATAAAAGTATCATAACTATGTCCCTAGTAAACAAGTCTGTTTAAAGGTTTGGTTAACTTTTGTGGTGAATGACAAATTTTTGTTCTTTGTATAGAATATTACCATAGAAGATGAGATGTGAAATACCTGAACGTGTCTTAAATAGTCTGTGCAATAAACCAAATAACTTACTGTGCGAATAACACCAACAAGAAATAGTGAAATTTAATGCCCTGGGAAAAAAAATTGTCCTCACAGCACTTGATTAAAATCTATGTACCGGTATATACCAATGGTTTGATAAAGCTTTGTGCAGTTTGTAATCATACTGGATTCAAACCCATCTGCTGCAGAGAAGATAACTTATTACAAATTTTGCTTTCAATAGCCTTTTTTCATCAATTCTTTAAATGCCAGCAGTTATAATAAGGCCAAAAAAAAAATATATGTCTGTTTAAGGTTACATACTTTAAAAAAATAGGGTAGGTAGGTTGGTATTTCCATTTTATTTTATTTTTTCATTTTATTTTTTGTGACATGATTTTGAGTCATGCGGTTTCGACTTGTCGTGGTCCGAGTTGATCATGGGCCGAGTTTACCCGTATTTTTGATGATTGGATTATTTCCCTTGGAAAAAAATGGTGGCAAAGTGTTTATTTCATCACACAAGTTGCGAATTTCCTTAAAACAGCTGTCATATTCACGATTGTGAGCATTGGGATGTATCAGGCAATTGATTTATATCATTTGCAACACTAACTTCGCTTTTGACACAAGTTCAGTTTATTTGTCACTTTACGACGGAAATAAAATGACTTAGGGTCGGCGCTCAAAAGTAGGGTCGGTCGGGTAACTGTAAACAAACATATATTTTTTTTTGGCAAAATAACAATCAAGCAAACAATCCTTTTAGGTCAAAGTATGATTTAAATTTTGCAGTTGTAATTCTTCCCTGGTAGTAATTGTTAATAAAATGCTTCGCTGGGGCGCAGCTTGATACGACCGCAGAGGTCGAACCCTGAACAGTTGGGGCAAGTATGGACACAACATTCAAGCTTGATACAGCTCTGAATTTGGATTGTTATTAAATATTTGACACAGCATAGGTTTCTGACACAGAAAGAATGTGGTCTAAGAACTTGAATTTTTTTAATTTACCTATTATGGTCCAATGTCCAAAATCAAAATACATGGTTAGATTCAGCATATCAAAGAACCCCATATTTTCAATTTTTGTTGAAATCAAACAAAGTTTAATTTTGGACCCCAACTTGGACAAACTTGAAAACTGGGCCCATAATCAAAAATCTAAACACATGTTTAGATTCAGCATATCAAAGAACCCCAATAATTCAATTTTTGCTAAAATCAAACTAAGTTTAATTTTGGACCCTTTGGACCTTAATGTAGACCAATTTAAAAAACGGGACTTAAAATTAAAAATCTAAATACACAGTTAGATTTGGAATATCAAAGAACCCCAATAATTCAATTTTTGATGAAATCAAACAAAGTTTAATTTTGGACCCTTTTGACCTCAATATGAACCAATTTGATAGCGGGGCCCACAAATAAAAAATCTAAATTCATGGTTAGATTCAGCATATCAAAGAACCCCATATATTCAATTTTTGTTGAAATCAAACAAAGTTTAATTTTGGACCCCAACTTGGACCAACTTGAAAACTAGGCCCATAATCAAAAGTCTAAACACATGTTTAGATTTAGCATAACAAAGAACCCTAAGAATTCAATTTTTGTTAAAATCAAACTAAGTTTCATTTTGGACCCTTTGGACCTCAATGAAGACCAATTTTAAAAAATGGGACCCAAATTAAAAATCTAAAAACACGGTTAGATTTGGCATATCAAAGAACCCCAATAATTCAATTTTTGATGAAATCAAACAAAGTTTAATTTTAGACCCTTTTGACCTCAATATGAACCAATTTGATAGCGGGGCCCACAAATAAAAAATCTAAATACATGGTTAGATTCAGCATATCAAAAAACCTCATATATTCAATTTTTGTTGAAATCAAACAAAGTTTAATTTTGGACCCCAATTTGGACCAACTTGAAAACTGGGCCCATAATCAAAAATCTAAATACATGTTTGGGTTCAGCATATCAAAGAACCCCATATATTCAATTTTTGTTGAAATCAAACAAAGTTTAAATACTGGACCCTATCTTGGACCAACTTGAAAACTGGGCCCATAATCAAAAATCTAAACACATGTTTAGATTTAGCATATCAAAGAACCCCAAGAATTCAATTTTTGTTAAAATCAAACTAAGTTTAATTTTGAACCCTTTGGACCTCAATGAAGACCAATTTTAAAAAATGGGACCCAAATTAAAAATCTAAAAACACGGTTAGATTTGGCATATCAAAGAACCCCAATAATTCAATTTTTGATGAAATCAAACAAAGTTTAATTTTAGACCCTTTTGACCTCAATATGAACCAATTTGATAGCGGGGCCCACAAATAAAAAATCTAAATACATGGTTAGATTCAGCATATCAAAGAACCTCATATATTCAATTTTTGTTGAAATCAAACAAAGTTTAATTTTGGACCCCAATTTGGACCAACTTGAAAACTGGGCCCATAATCAAAAATCTAAATACATGTTTAGATTCAGCATATCAAAGAACCCCATATATTCAATTTTTGTTGAAATCAAACAAAGTTTAAATACTGGACCCTATCTTGGACCAACTTGAAAACTGGGCCCATAATCAAAAATCTAAACACATGTTTAGATTCAGCATATCAAAGAACCCCAAGAATTCAATTTTTGTAAAAATCAAACTAAGTTTAATTTTGGACCCTTTGGACCTTAATGTAGACCAATTTAAAAAACAGGACCCAAAATTAAAAATCTAAATACACGGTTAGATTTGGAATATCAAAGAACCCCAATAATTCAATTTTAGATGAAATCAAACAAAGTTTAATTTTGGACCCTTTTGACCTCAATATGAACCAATTTGATAACGGGGTCCACAAATAAAAAATCTAAATACATGGTTAGATTCAGCATATCAAAGAACCCCATATATTCAATTTTTGTTGAAATCAAACAAAGTTTAATTTTGGACCCCAATTTGGACCAACTTGAAAACTGGGCCAAAAATCAAAAATCTAAATACATGTTTAGATTCAGCATATCAAAGAACCTCATGTATTCAATTTTTGCTAAAATCAAACAAAGTTTAATTTTGGACCCTTTGGACCTCAATGTAGACCAATTTGAAAACTGGACCCAAAATTAAAAATCTAAATACACTGTTAGATTCGGCATAACAAATAAATAAATGTGATCAAAGATTTTACAAATCTAATGCGCCATACTGTGCAATTAAAGATTACTTCTTGAAATTTTTCAATATTTGAAATTTGAAAAAAAAAAAATAATATTTGAAGAATAATTCTTTTTAATTTCTGAAATCTGAAATGAGAAAAAATTGACCCCCCACAATTTCTTTTTATCCCCCTCCCCCCCTTTTTTCCCCAAAAAAATTCTTTCCCTCAAGATATGGTCATAATCTCAATTCAAATTTCCAATGGAGTTGGCAACCATAATTACCCATTTAAATTTACCATAGTGCTAACTTAATCTATTTTATAATAGAATTAAAAATATAGTGTCAAATCTTTCATATGGATTTTTTTGTAAAAAAAAAAGATGCAACATTTGCAGATATTTTTACTGGTCTTCCTTTATATATATGTATTTCTTTAAACATAATTTAAAAGCAGTGTAAGGGAAGAAACCAAAACGTTGTATTTGGATTACCTCCCTTACACTGTTTTAAATTATCTTTATTGTTCATTAACCATTACTTTATTCATAATTTAAAAGCAGTGTAAGGGAGATAATTTCAATGATGTATTTGATTTATCTCCCTTACACTGCTTTAAATTATGTTTTGTACTAAAGTATTTGTCCATTAACCAGGACAACCTTGTTTTTCCCCCTTTTTTGCCCCTAATTCCTAAACGGTTTGAGCCATAACCCCCCAAAGCAAATCCTAACCATCCCTTTGTGGTATGGAAACTTGTAGTATAATTTCAGAGAGATCCATACACCGTTCCACAGTTATTGTCTGGAAACTAGAAAATGCTTATTTTTGGCCCCTTTTTGGCCCCTAATTCCTTAACTGTTGGTACCATAACCCCCAAAATCAATCCCAACCTTCCTTTTGTGGTATTTAACCTTATGGTCAAATTTCATAGAGATCCATTCACTTAAACTAAAGTTAGAGTGCGAAAACCAATGTGTCTTCGGACGACGACGACGACGACGCCAACGTCATACCAATATACGACCACAAAATGTTTTTGCGGTCGTATAAAAAGCTGTGAGCAATATCAAATGTGCAGATAAACAGACAAAATACATTTAAACAGTGAATGGCAGTAAATATCAAAATCCAATATACAGGGTGTCAAGGTCATCACAAAATTTCACTTACTCCTTCAGATATATCTGCCTGCTGAAAGACCAAAATTACAAATATAAAATACTAAGAGTAAATTTCTAATTTTGAAATAATTAAAAACTTGCAAATTTGACTAACAATAACTTGGATTTTTGGTGTAAAATACCTGTAGGTATTTAATTTAATAGCATACTGAAGCAATTTTGTGTAACTTTTGCTGGAGTTGGTAACTTAAGGTGGTACAGGGAGACAACTCTGTAAAAATCAGCTGAGCATTTTAATCACGTTCTATTGTTAAGGAAATAAGGGTTTGTCAAACTGCTATATATCCGAAGAAATTTTTGCGATAAAGTGTGTGGTTCAAGTTTTTTGAATTTTTATATTTTTGTCAAAGGATCAAAGTAAATATTTTGTAAAAATTTTATGAAAATTAAACGAGCCAAATTAATTTTAGTCAAGATGTTTGGTATCACCTTAAGGTAGTGTGGTAATATCTGATTCATACATCTTTCAAAATGAAAAAAAAATCAGGGACAGGATCAGTCTCAGTTGATCTAGATCTATTGTAACCAAGAAACTGACTTAATTGCCCAAACCTTACATGAATCATAGAACCAAGGTGTCCGACAATCATACGCAACTAGCTACACACTTAAAAATCAGAGTTGACATGAAATGACCGTAGATAAGAAACTGACCTATTAACAACTTTATAAATGAATGAAGAAGGTCAAAGATCTGTGTGAAATGGCATGTTCACCCATACAATTCGAAAGAGATTCATTTGACCACCAAGAAACTGAATAAAGTACAATAGTCAATTTACCCCTATCTAAAAATTTCTGATTGAGTCAGCCATGGAAATGAGGTTTTGCTTCACAATCATTGGTTAGACTAATATGGACCCCTATCTAAAAAATTTAGACTTGATCAGTTGGTCTTTCCATTCTACTTTCTACGAAAATCATTAACATTATCAAAACTAATAAACTGTTATCACAGAGATATGTCTCGCTTTTTGTAATTTTGATAATGCAAATGTTGAAATTAAAATAGCAATACTTTAACATGTAAGTTATGCAAATATTCAAAGTCGATGAACCATGACTGAAGGTACATGGCTAAACAATCTCTATGGAATGAGATGTGCCAATGCTTATACAACTGCATACCAAATACCATTGACTTATTATAAGTTGTTCCCTTTAAACAAACCTAAACACAAACATTAACTTGTAAACTATGTAAAAGTTCAAAGTCAATGAACCATGATCAGGGGTGGGGCTATATAATCTCCATGGAAACGATACTTGCAAATGCCAATAAATTTGCATACCAAATATCATTGACTTAACATTTGCAGTTCATCTTAAACTGATCTAATCACAAACTAATACATGTAAACTAAGCAAAAGTTTCAAAGTAAATAGACCATGACTGAGGGGGTGGGGCCAAATATTCTCCATGGAAATGAGATGTGCTAATGCTTATACAACTGAACACAAATTAACATTGGCCTACCACTAATGGTTCCCCTTGAACTGACCTAATCACAAACAAATACATGTTAACTTAGCAAAATTTTCAAAGTCTATAGACCATGACTAAGGGGCTGAGCCAAATAATCTCTATGGAAACGAGATATGCCAATGCTTATACAACTGCATACCAAATATCATTGACCTACCACTAGTGGTTCCCCATAAATTGACCTAATCACAAACTAGTACATGTAAACTATGAAAAGTTTCAAAGTCAATAGACCTTGACCGAGGGGGCGGGACCAAATAATCTCCATGGTAATGAGATGTGCCAATGCTAATACAACTGCATAACAAATATCATTGACCTACCACTAGTGGTTCACCATGAACTAGACCTAATCACAAACTAATACATTGTTGACGCCGACGCTTTTTGACTCTGTCAAGGCGAGACAAAAACTGATTTCGAAATTTAATTATTATTTAGAAATCCATTCTGATCACCTTTCATCTTTTCTGTTGACATGCTCAAAGAGATGGGATGGTTCGAAAAAGCTGAAATTATAGGGATAGCATGACATCAGATTCCCTCACAGTCATCCTAGTATAAATTGTATCAATATTAGTTTTTTCATGAGTGTAAAAATTAAACCTTTCATTTTCAGTTGAATATAGCATATGACACTGGTGGCAGTCTTACAAACATAACCAACATAAAGAGCACATAATTGAAGAGAACATATGACACTGGTGGCAGCCTTACACATATAACCCACATAAAGAGCACATAATTGAAGAAAACATATGACACTGGTGGCAGCCTTACACACATAACCAACATGAAGAGCACATAATGGAATAAAGCATATGACACTGGTGGCAGCCTTACACAGATAACCAACATGAAGAGCACATAATGAAATAAAACATATGACACTGGTGGCAGTCTTACACACATAACCAACATGAAGAGCACATAATGGAATAAAGCATATGACACTGGTGGCAGCCTTACACACATAACCAACATGAAGAGCACAAAATGAAATAAAACATATGACACTGGTGGCAGTCTTACACACATAACCAACATGGAGAGCACATAATGGCATAAAGCATATGGCACTGGTGGCAGCCTTACACACATAACCAACATGGAAAGCACATAATGGCATAAAGCATATGGCACTGGAGGCAGCCTTACACACATATTACCAACATGAAGAGCACATACTGTGGATTCATTTATTTTCGTGGGTACCAATTTTCATGGATTAAAGAAAACTTAAATGTTCGTGGATATTTAATTTCGTGGATTTTCCAAAGTCTGCATACAAACCTATTGAAAATGTGTTATTCGTTGAAGATTTGATTTTGTGGTTCGTCTGTACTCAAGAAATCCACGAAAATTTGTATCCAACAAATAATAATGAATCCACAGTAACAAAATTAACCATATGACACTGGTGGCAGGATACACACATGAAGAGCACATAATGGAATAAAGCATATGACACTGGTGGCAGCCTTACACACATAACCAACATGGAGAGGACATAATGGAATAAAACATATGACACTTGTGGCAGCCATACACACATAACAAACATGATTCGACTATAATGGTAATGGAATTAAGTATATGTATGATACTGGTGGCATCCTTACAGACATAACCCACATGAAGAGAAAATAATGAAATTAAGCATATGACACTGGTGGCAGGCTGACATACATATTCCACATGAAGAGCACATAATTGAATTTAGCTAAATGACTACATCTATTTTTCAATACTAACCTCACTATTATACATATTTTTCAGTTTAGCTGTACTGGGAGATTGTTTCATGGGTTGTGGAAAAACTGGCACACTGATCTCATCTGGCTCATCTTCTCTTGTGTCCTCTAAACTACCCATAGATCCCTGATTACCACCAGCTATCATTTCACTTTGTGATGGCGGAGGTGGAGGTCTGTTTGGTTTCTTATTTTTCTTTTTGCTCTTTTTTCCTGTGTCTGAAATAAACATAGTTATTTTGATTTTTTTAATTTCTGTATTAAGGGCATACGATACAGTTTTGATCCCACAGTGATTTTTTAACGAAAATTTGCATACAAGCTATCACCTAGTCAATTCAAATAAGTAATAATAAAATGCTTCGCTAAGCACAGCCAGATAGACCGCAGAGGTCTAACCCTGAACAGTTGGGGCAAGTTTGGACACAATATTCAAGCTTGATACTGTCTGAATTTGGATTGTGATCAAATTTTTGACATAATATAGGTTTTTAACACAAAATAAATGTGGTCAAAGATCTTAAAAATTTGAAATGGGACATTTAATTTATTTAGAATGGTCTGATATCCAAAATCTAACAACATGGTTAGATTCAGCATATAAAAAAAACACTTAAATTTAATTTTAGTTGAAATCAAACAAAGTTTAATATTAGACCCTTCAAACCTTAATATGGACTAATTTGAAAACAGGGCCCAAAAATAAAAATCTAAATGCACAATAAGATTCAGCATATCATACAGCCACAATAATTCAGTTTTTGATGAAATCAAACAAAGTTTAATTTTGGACCCTTTTGACCTCAATATAGACCAATTTAAAAATGGGGCCCAATATCCAAAAAAGTAATACAAGGTTAGAACCCCCAAAAATTAAAGACTTTAAATTAATCCCATTGAAATTGATCAAAAGATTTGTATTTATTTTCAATTGAAGATTTCTTGCTATTGCGCAATACTGTGCAATTTAAGATTTCTTGCTATTGTGCAATACTGTGCAATTGAAGACTTCTTGCTATTGCACAATACTGTGTTGTTGCGCAATACTGTGCTATTGCACAATACTGGCCAATTGAAGATTTCTTACTATTGCGCAATACTGTATAATGGAAGATTTCTTGCTATTGTGCAATACTGTGCAATTGAAGATTTCTTGCTATTGCGCAATACTGTGCTATTACGCAATACTGTGCAATTGAAGATTTCTTGCTATTGCGCAATACTTTGTTGTTGAGCAACACTGTGCAATTGAAGATTTCTTGCTATTACGCAATACTTTGTTGTTGCACACTGTGCAATTGAAGATTTCTTGCTATTGCGCAATACTGTGCTATTGCGCAATACTGTGCTATTACGCAATACTGTGCAATTGAAGATTTCTTGCTATTGCGCAATACTGTGCAATTGAAGATTTCTCGCTATTGCGCAATACTTTGTTGTTGCACACTGTGCAATTGAAATTTCTTGCTATTGCGCAAAACATTTTTTGCGGTCGTATAAAAAATATACCGCCGTGTGCTAAATTTAGAGAAAAATGAGGTCAAAATTTTGGACATTTACTTTAAATTTTGGTTTCTTCAACATTTCTATCCTTTGGAAAGACATACTTTTTTGTTTCAAAAGATAAACACATGTGTTAAAAACATTTGGAATATCTTCTTTACAAAAACATACTTTTAATTTGAGTAACAATTCTTTGGAAATAATTAATTTTTATCAAATTTTCATGTATATTTATCCAGTTTAAAAAAAAAATCATCGGTGATTTCTTCATAAAAATTGGAATAAATAATCTTCATACAGTATCAAGTCAAATGTCATTTTAAAAAAGAAATGTCCATGTACTCATTTTCAAGCTAATGATTAAAATCACTTGCAAAATGCATCTTTTCCAGATATGTCGCAGTTTGACGTTGCGAAAAATAACATTTAACATTAGCAACGTCATTAACTCCCCTGTAACTGTATCGTATGGCCTTAAAAAGCGGTAAATAATCCTATTAATACTTCCTGTACCTATGTAAATTTATCAAAATTGTGTTTTTTCTTCATAATTATTAAATAAACAGTTTATTCAAAAAAGATTTGCAATGAATATGATTTCCCAATCTATATTTGCAAGATATTAATGAAGGAAGACAAAAATGATATTGAAATACATTTAACTGCACATATTTTTTTAACAATCAGACTTGTGAAAGAAAAAAATCATAAAAAAAATTTGATTTGAGAAGATATTTGTTTTAGATGTTACTGTTACTGATTATATAACCTACACCATTACTAAGCTAATAAAGATTAACAGTATTATTGTATATAAATAGAAGCAGACTAGTACTACAAGGGATATTTACATTGATATGTGTGGATGTAAATAGGAGATTCACTACCAAAGATTTCATCTGAAGTTTGAAAGTGAAATTATGTCTTGTTTAGCATGCTCTGCAAATATTAAAAGCTGGTATTGATGGGCTGTGTTATATTGTCAATGTATTAAGCTGATTAGTCCCTTAACAAGAGATGTGATATCTGTGGTCTATAGTCCTTTCCCAAAACTTAACTTAGAAAGAACTTGTTCACAGCAATGCCATATAGTTAATTATCATACATTTTCAGTTAAAAAGGGCCTCATCTGCACCTTCTGTGCTGACATGTAATATAATTGATGCGGTCATTTTCTGCTGACTGACATGCCAACAGGATTTTTTAACATATTTGTTTACAAGGTAACAATCCATAGGTCACCCTAACTGGACACATTATTTTGACTGTTAGCTGACTAGGTTTTGCTGAATACGGCATGATTAGCGAAGAAGCAGCAAATATAAATTTTAAAGTATTTTGCTTGACCCACCACAAAAGAAAGATTTGACTTAACTTTTTGGGATTTTAGTTTTAATGCTTCTCAACTTAGTAATAAATTTGGTGTTCCAACTGTTTTTATCAAGCTGGGCTTACAAACAGATCTTACATAGTAAATCTGAATAAACTGATGCACCATGAGTGCATTATATCCCCATATCCTAATTTTGATCACTAAAGTCCTTTAATCCATGAGCAACAAATTTTCAAATGTTAAAAAATTAATGAACTGTTTACACAGAGATACCTCTCGCCTGTATGTTCTTTTGATAGTAAAGTGCAAATGTTGAAATTCAAACGGCAAAATTTTAAAATTTAAACTATACAAAAATTTCAAAGTCAATGGACCATGACTGAGGAGCCATGGCCAAATGATCAACATGGAGATCAGATGTGCAAACAGTAACATTAATACAAATGCATACCAAATAATATTGACTTAACCATTAGTGGTTCCCCTTAATCCAACCTATTCACAAACTTTAACAATTGTGCATGCTGCGAATGCAGGAAACAGCAGGCCTTAGTCTCCCTTCAGCAACAGACATTATAGCAGGCGAGTCCAAAAGGAGATAGTTTTTAAAGATTGTAAGTTTCTCATGAATTTTCTTGGAATTAATGCAAAAAATTAATTACATTAATGCAAGACACATCAAAAACATCTGTATATGTTATATCCCATATTAAACTCTAAATTGCAAATCTAAATGCCATTAAAATCAAAACGGATGTAACCTTTATGTAAACAAAGATTGCATAAAAATTTAATGCACAGATCTTAAGCATACATTTGTAAAAGAGTTGCGCTCACTATTGTGTAAATTTTTTAATGACTCAAGTGGCATAATTCTGGAGCAACAAATTTAAAATCTGTCAATATTGAAAGGGAGCCGGTCTCTGGAACCAAAAATTGTCCATTTTTTCAAATGTATCCCTCAGCACATAATTTATTATGTATTTTTATAAAAAAATAAAATTTTTATTAACTTTGGAACAATTAATAAAAATATCATCAAAATGAAAAGAAGGTTTTCTTTATAAAACCAACCACTGTGTTACTTTTTTCTAAATATTTGTTAGATGAAACATTACTCTTGAATGACAAATCTCAAAATTGTCAAAAATCATAAGGGAATTTTTCTTAAAAGATAAAATATTGTGTAAAATGCAAAAAGAGCTTTTAAATCTAATTTGAAAATACCCAGACAAACATTGGACAACAGTGTACCATCCTTGATGGGCATATAAAAATCACTACAACAGTTCAAGGACACAACAATGTTATACTACAGACCGCATTAAATGTTTATGAGTGAGATAATGATCTTTATTTATAACTTTATTTTCCTCTGAATGATGGCTGTAACTCACACCTGATGTTTCAAGTAACTGAGTGTAAAACAGATACAAATCTTTTTATAATTTTTTTTTCATTTGGAGTGGTTTGGAAATTTTTTTTTAAGGGTTCCACGGAACCCAGTGTCTCGCCTACTTTTTCAGTGTGATAGGGGAATGCACATAATAGATTTACAGTTAATGAAATAAATAAATATGATGCTTCTGTCCAAGTTTGGAAAAAATCCAGGATGGTTTATGAATCTAATAAATGTTTTAAAAACTTTAACTGCAGACTGTGTATAATGTTAACTGGCAGAAAAACTTAGTCCATTTATAAGTAGAATACGGATAAACAGGATTTTTTTTTTTACAAAATTTACTATCTTATGATCATTAACAAGCTTCTGTCCAAGTTTGGTAGAAATCCAACCACTCTGGTTGTCATGTTATTATAAATCACTATTGTTTTACCAAATCATTAATGCAAATAATATACCACTTTTCTTCACCATCAGAAACTGACATGTAGGAAATGTGAAGCCTTTGGATGGTATTTCTCCATTTTTTTTATAACACTGACCTATGTCACTCACATGTAGATTTACCAAAGTTCAAACTTTTACAGCAAATGTTTATAAGAACTAAGTTCATTTTGTTATTAAGTTAAGGCCAGGTTCAAAATTCCAAATTTAGTAATAGGTAATGATTTTGAAGTTAATTTATTTCTTTCTACATCACTTATACAGCTCTAAAACAAAGAAAAAATTGAAAAAAAGATTAAGGACACCAAGAACCTATAGGAAATAAGATTTTTTTTTTCTGAAGTTACACAGACTTTTTGATATTGTTCCAAACTTTAAAACTTTATTTCATATCAGTTGAATAAAGAAGATAACATATTGACCATTTAAACAAACCTTCCAATAGAACATTCATTATATAATACATCAAAACAAAAATTAGCATGGTTGAACAGATGTCATATTTATATAAACTACAGAATAACTTTTAAGGGTAATAAAGACTTCTGACAGATAGTCAATTGTGAATTATTAAATTAAATAGATGTTTTAATAAAAGTTATAATAGTTTTGTCTTTACGAAAACCATTTTTATTACAACTTCATTTTTTTCTTCAAAAGAAATAACATGTATCTATTTATATATATTTCAATCTCTTCCACAATGCTACATCAACTAAGATTAGAAGATGGTCTCACAAGCTGGCATTTTTTTCATATGCTATAAATTATGTATGTTCTTTATTCTTGGAAATTTTTTAAATACTAAATTAAATCTGTTGGGAGAGTCTTTTCATAAAACATTTATATTTTATAACTGCAGACTGTAGTACAAAAGTCTTACCAAGATTAAAATCAAAGAGTTCTGGATCCTCCATGTAAAATCCAGGGTTTGTCACAGCCTGTAATTCACCTGTCAAATCATTCAACTCTTTCACAACTAAATGATTTGCAGTAGCCATGTTTGTATATATACTTCAATGGTGAACCCAAGATATCAACATCTAAGAACAAGTACAGACTTGAGTCTTACAACCCTCTATTCAAGAATGTCTATTTATTATAAAACAAAAGGTTAATTACATTTCAATCGGCAAACATTAAATTAAAGCAAATTTTATAAATCAATGTCTGAAATATTATGTGTTTTATTTCAAAAACTATCTATCATTTTTATATTTTGAAATCCTAAGTTTCTAGAGTTTTCATTACCTTATTTTACCTATCAATCTGATTTATCTAAATTTAATGTTCTGCAATCCCAATTGTTTGCCTGTCAGATTGGTTTATATTCATATCAACAAACTTACAAAAATAGGATGTTCTTTATCAATATTACACATGAAATTGATATCAGTAAAGGAATAAAATAAGTAAAATTTTCAAAATCAAATTTGAGCTTACTGCCATCAAACCTAAGATCATCTTATTAAAGAATCTTAGGTGAGCAAGTTCACGTATCCCTCAACCCCATATAAATTATAATTGTAAACAGTAACATTGTCTTATTCATTATGACCCTGACCATATAGCAAGTGACTTCATAATTAATTGGCATCTTCCTCTTGACCCTCTTAATACATATGACAACAAATTAAAGTAAGGTTGCAATCCCATATGAAACATTGTACATTCTGAAACCACTTTTCAATTTTCGCCTTTTTTTAGTTACTTTGAACTTGAAATAGTGACCTCAAAATCTATAAAGATCTTACCCTTATTATATTTGATGACGATTCCCAGTAAAATTTATACAATCCCTAATGTAGTAATGGATTAAGCATCAAGAAACCTCTATTTGGTACAAATTTCTGTCTATTTTTAGTAACTATGACTTTGACCTTAGACATAGTGACCTCAAAATGAATAAAAAAACGATCCTCCTCTCATAATATGTGACAATATATCCAAGTAAGGTTGCAATCCCATACGTCGTATTTAATTTAGCATTTATAAACCACTTTTTGGCACAAATTTCCATGTTTAAGGTGGTACTAAACACCTTGACTAAAATTAATTTGGCTCGTTTAATTTTCATAAAATTTTGACATAATATTTACTTTGACCCTTTGAAACAAATAAAAAAATTTCAAAAAACTTGAACCACAAATTTTATCGTAAAAATTTCATTGGATATATAGCAGTTTGACAAACATTAATTTTGATCATTGAGAAGCTTAATATTTCCTTCACAATAGAATTGAATTAAAACGTTCAGCTGATTTTTACAGAGTTATCTCCCTGTAGTGTTATGTACCACCTTAAGTAATTAGTGGTAACCGCAAAATCAATAGGAATGTTCTTCTCATAATACATGTTATACATGTATGAGACATATGTCCAAGTAAGTTTGCAATCTGATTTAAAAAATAATGAGTTAGCATCCTGAAAACAACTTTTTTGGATATAGTGGTAAGAAAATGAAGAGTATCTAGAAATTTCCCATATGGTCCAAAGCAATAACTATGGTCTTCTTTTGGAAATTCAATGTCAATCAATTCTATTCTGGAAGGGTACAATATTAATGCTACTCCTGTCAAAATTAGTGTAAAGTTGTAAACCAAATTCATATTAGCAAGTGGTTTCAAAGAAGATTGAAAAAATAGAAAATTTCAATATGGTAAAACTATTGTAAGCAGTGATAGCTATCTGGAAATGTAATTGTAACAGTACAGATAAACCATCTCAATATAAAAACAAGGAGATGTGGTATGATTGCCAAATAGACAACTATCCACCAAAGTTCAAATGAAAGAAATAGAACAAATGTAATAATAATAAACTGCTTCGCTGTGCGCAGCTAGATACACCCGCAGAGGTCCAACCCTGAACAGTTGGGGCAAAAATGGACACAATATTCAAGCTTGATTCAGGTCTGAATTTGGATTGTAATTAAATGTTTGACATATAATAGGTTTCTGAATAAATGTAGTCAAAGAACTTGAAATTGGTTATATGAATTGAATTTATATTCAATTAAAGATTTCTTGCTGTTGTGCAATACTTAGTAAATCTGTTGTCAGACTATAAACAAATAAAGTTCAATTAATTCTCAATGTCATATTAGAAATTTATGAAAATAAAAAGGGAGCTTACGTCAATAGATATAAACAATTCGCCAAAGTTTCATGAGAATTGGTGACAGAATTTTTGAAATATTGTCCGAAAACTGGAAAATCACCCCTTTTTTTAATGAATAAAACCCCATAACATAGAAATGTAAAATGTAAAATTTATAAAATTCTAAAGGGAGCTTACATCAATACATACAAACAATTCACCAAAGTTTCATAAGAATCGCTGAAAGCATTTTTGACTTATTGTCCAAAAACTGGAAAATCCACCTTTTTTTAATGAATAAAACCCCATAACTCGGAAACGTAAAATCTAAATTTTATAAAAAACGAAAGGGAGCTCACGTCAATACATATAAACAATTCACCAAAGTTTTATGCAAATTGGTTAAAGCATTTTTGAGTTAATGTCCGACATGTTGACGACGGACAACGGTATACCATAATACGTCCCGTAAAGGGGCGTATAAAAACTAACAGTAGACAGCTCCCTTACAAGCAAAAAACCCATAACTGTAAAATATAAGGGCAAACACTACAAGCACGGGGACACATTCTACTGCATCCACACAGTACAAGCAACAAACCCTGAATCAAATTACTTGCCAAATTTGGTACAAATTTGAAGCAAAAGATAATAATTATTCACTATGAATTTATAAACTAGATGTGTCAGGACTATAAAACACAATATTTTCTTACCTAATAACATTAAGCATGAATTTACATAAAATGTGCTCAAATTGTACAAAAAGAAACAAACTTTGAAAAAACATCCATTTAAACCTTCACCAAAAATTCTAGCAGAGTTAGTTTTAAAGCCTAAAACCTAATTACTAAAATTAGTAGTATAATATCATTATAATTATTAGATATAAACACTTGTCATGTCAGTCATGTATATAATATGCATATATAAAATGATACCTTTTTGGAAAATTGAGTACATAAAAAAATTTCTTTGAGGTTTTGCATTAATTTTAAATTAGTAATGAACCGTTATGACAAGTGTTTTTACAAAGAACCTATTAACCAATACCTTCTAACATAGGAATAGAGACATCATTATCACCATTATAATCCTGTGGTGAGTATTCCATTGTTTTTGGTGAATGTTGTTGATGATCTATGTTTGGTATTTCAAAAGTGTTTTGAGGAATAGGACTCCTACTTAGGCTTCTTCTACTAGGATCTGTGTTTTGTGAAGAAACACTATCCTTTGATGGTGGCGGTAATGTCCACTGACCAGCATGTTTATTTTTCTTTCCATTTTTAGTATGAATATCATCACCTGCACCAAATATTTAGGACAAACATGCAATAATATTACCATGCAAATTAATGGCAAGACTTATTTCCATTGTACAACAACAATTATAAATTTTAGCATGCAAAATTTCCGTTGTTTTATTTTTATTTATATTTGCATCCTCTTTTAGAGAAACAGAATTCTCCTATTTTTACATTTATTAATGCTGTATAAATGAACATATATATATTGATAAAAATATTCTAATAATCAATTATTTTAGTTTATGAGAAGACCAGTTTAAGAAAAATTCAAATTGACACACATACAAAAATATGTACTAGTCACTAGTAAAGCACACTTTTTTTTTTGCTTTTGTAAAATACACTATGCTGTTGCGTATTGACCACCCCCCCCCCCCCAAAAAAAAAAATTGCCCCCCACAATTTCTTTTTTACCCTCCTCCCCCCCTTTTTCCAAAAACAAAAATTCTTTCCCTCAAGATATGGTCATAATCTCAATTCAAATATTTCCAATGGAGTTTGCAACCATAATTACCAATTTAAATACATCATAAAAGTCTTAAATAGATAATTTAAAAGCAGTGTAAGGGAGGTAATCCAACATTGTACAATTTTGTTTTGGATTACCTCCCTTACACTGCTTTTAAATTGTCCATTAACCAGGAAACCCTTGTTTTTTCCCTTTTTTGCCCCTAATTCCTATACGGGTTTGTGCCATAACCCCCCAAAGCAAATCCTTACCTCCCCTTTGTGGTATGGAAACTTGTGGTATAATTTCAGAGAGAGATCCATACACTTAAACACAAGTTATTGTCTGGAAGTTACAAAAATGCTTATTTTTGGCCCCTTTTTGGCCCCTAATTCCTTAACTGTTGGTACCATAACCCCCAAAATGAATCCCAACATTCCTTTTGTGGTATTGAACCTTATGCTAAAATTTCATAGAGATCCATTCACTTAAACTAAAGTTATTGTGCGAAAACCAATGTGTCTTCGGACGACGTAATACCAACTGAGCATGGAGAATGATGCATTTCAATGGCAGAACACCTTTCTCTTAATCCTTTAACAAATATAATTCAATAAAAACACTGTCACTCTCTCCTGTTAATTCATTAACTGTGCAATAAATGGAAATAAATCAATAAAAAGTTGAGAACAGGAGATTCCTACATTGTTTATTAAGGAATGTACAAGTCATGAAAGAAACAGAAATCATTCCCGCTCCTGTAAAAACACAACGTCAACGATGCTGAAACAGTTCAGCTCCTGTAAAAACATAACACTGACAAATGAAGCAGAAACAGTCCAGCTCCTGTAAAACATAACACCGACAAACGAGGACAAAACATTCCAGCTCCCGCAAAACATAACACAGACAAATGAACCAGGAAGCATTCCAGCTCCTGTAAAAAATAACACCAACAAACAAAGCATGAAACATTCCAGCTCCTGTAAAACATAATACCGACAAACAAAGCAGGAAACATTCCAGCTCCTGTAAAACATAGCACAGACAAAAGAAGAAGGAAAAAACTATAGAAATAAAATATTCCATTCAATGCAGTTCATCTTAAAATTAATTTGATGATAAAATTCTCTAAAACAGCTGGTCTTAGAGGTCTATGCTTATCCCATTATGATATGACTGCCTAATGTCACAACAGAAGAGTTCAATGTGCACACATTACAGCTTGGAAATTGTTAAGTAGTTTGCAAATCTGTCGTCATACATCTGATGCTGTTATTAAGATTAATTGATTGATGTTGCTTAATGCCGCCTCAGCATTCTATTATTTAGAGGATTTTTTTACTTTGTGACTCCGGGGCCTAAACAAATTTTCTACAGAAGGACAGTATGACACACCCACACCATAAAACATCCAATGAGATACATACACTGGAACAAGACAGTTTACTTTACTACTACTAGGGGGTGTTTAAAGACCTTGACTACCCATGAGGGTTTCACACAGTCGGCAGTTTACTCAATACTTAATTATCTATGCTAATGCATAGTACAAACTCATTTAAATGTTTGCATATTTATTTCCATTAGGACCCTATATGAATTTTGTTTTATAGTTCCAGCCATCTTAAATATTAAATCAGCATATAAATCATAAATACTTTTAGGGATAGATAATAGAAAACTTGTCAACTTTTTTTACTGACAACATCATAAAACATATCTATCTACTAAATAACTCTTAAAAAAACAATAATTTTACAAAATATCAACACCGAAAAAGGGTACTGTAGAAAGCAATGACTGAAATGTTGATTTAGACTTACCCTGCAAGAGACAAATGTCTTAATAAAAACAAAATATAAACCAAGTATGTATTCAAGTTTTATCTGTCAATTTTCTTCAAATGTTCCTGTTCCTCTTATAATAGTAATAAAGTAAAGACAACATTGCAAACATAAAATCCTGTTTACTATGTATAGAACTATCCCTCACAACCAAATTGTCTAGGAGAACATGATTCGTTTATTAGTTTAAATTGGCTTTAAACTAGCCTTCAATAACTGCAAGTACTCTTAGATAGCTACTTGGTGTCTTTTGTATTTATGTTAGATGTATTGTTGTGCTTCATGCCAATATGATAAGTCAAGCCATTTCTAACTGATTTTTCAGTTTGTTCTTGTGTTGTGCTGTTACACCACTTTACCAGGTTGATCACTCATAAATATGTTTAGCCCAACCACATTCTTATTGTGCCTGTCCCAAGTCAGAAGCTGGTAATTCAGTGGTTGTCATTGGTTGCTGTCTGTCATTTTCATTTTTCATTCATTGTTTTGACATAAATCAGGCTGTTGATTTTTCTCGTTTTCTCGTGAATTGTTTTACATTTTGTCAGGGATGGACCTTAAAAATCCAACTATACCATATGGGTTTTTTCTTGTTATTGAAGGATGTTTGAGGACTTACAGTTGCTAACATCCATATCATTTGGACTCTGGTAGATAATTGTTTCATTGTCACATCTCCTTATTTTTATATGTATATATCTCACTAATTGTATGGAACAATATATTACAACCAAAATGTTGATATATTACTAAATGTGTAGAGCTACCAATTACAAGCAAACTGTAGATATCTTACTACAATGAATGGAACTATCCCTTGTAAGCAAACTGTAGATATCTTACTACAATGAATGGAACTATCCCTTGTAAGCAAACTGTAGATATCTTACTACAATGAATGGAACTATCCCTTGTAAGCAAACTGTAGATATCTTACTACAATGAATGGAACTATCCCTTGTAAGCAAACTGTAGATATCTTACTACAATGAATGGAACTATCCCTTGTAAGCAAACTGTAGATATCTTACTACAATGAATGGAACTATCCCTTGTAAGCAAACTGTAGATATCTTACTACAATGAATGGAACTATCACTTGTAAGCAAACTGTAGATATCTCACTAAATAAATGGAACTATCCCTTGTAAGCAAACTGTAGATATCTCACTAAATGAATGGAACTATCCCTTGTAAACAAACTGTAGATATCTCACTAAATGAATGGAAATATCCCTTGTAAACAAACTGTATATATCTCACTAAATGAATAGAACTGTCCATTGTTAGCAAACTGTAGATATCTCAATAAATGAAAAGAATTATCCTTTGTAAACAAACAGTAGATATCTCACTAAATGAATAAGATATCTCACTAAATGAATAGAACTATCCTTTGCAAACAAACTGTACATATCTCACTAAATGAATGGAACTATCTATTGCAAACAAAATGTGGATAATCCCTGAATTACAAGCATATACAACCAAACTGTAGATATTGTACTGTAGAAATATCCTTTACAACTAAACTGTAGATATTGTACTAAATTTGTAGAAATATCCTTTACAACTAAACTGTAGATATTGTACTAAATTTGTAGAAATATCCTTTACAACTAAACTGTAGATATTGTACTAAATTTGTAGAAATATCCTTTACAACTAAACTGTAGATAAATTACAAAGGTATAGAGCTATCTCTTAAAACCAAAATGTAAATATCTTTCTACTGTTAAAATCAAACAGCAGAGGTCTAATGGCAATATTCTAATCCATATATGATGTATGACTGACCTTTGAGAAGTATTAACATGGTGGTAATTGTTCAATGAAGGGTACGATGTACTGACCTGAGGTCGGTCAAGAGAAATATTATTAGTATTATGACTGACCTGCAGATATTTCTGGTATATCACTATCATCACTGTGACTATCTGTTGTAACGTTCAACACTGTAACTGTGTCACGCTGTGGTTCTGGAAATGATTCGTCCTCATATGCAGCTGGATTAACATATTCTGAAATACAAAACCTGAATTCAAATATCATTAACACCTAAAAGTTCTCAAGTTTTTAGCAGTGGTTTTCTGATTAACATATTTTGATAATGTTATTGATCTAATTCAAAGTTTTGGGTATTGTAATAAACTACTGTTCCATTAACATATAATGAAAACTAACTGGGGTTAAATCAGATATAAAACCAAGTCCTCCACTGATGACCATATTATTACGCCAATCTGCATTGTAGTAACAACACCAATAAGTGTCTAACAAAAAACTTTTCAGTGACATTAAGTTTCTATTGTTTTCAAAATTTTCAATAACAGAGAAAGTATCAATGGAAACTTTCAAACAATAATTTATCTAATACAGTTACTATTCAAGTAAAGTAGTAACCAATAGACAAAAGAAATAATATTATCTTAACTAAAAAAGTAACTTACTAAGGTGAAGCTAAATATAAGACTCAACACCCCAATCTTAATCAAATGAACACATTTAATTAGTTAAGTGTTTATAGCAACTTTCAGCACTATTGGCTATATCGTGCCGATCAGTTTTTTATTGGTGGAGGAAGGCCAGTCCACAGAGATAACCATCGACCTTCAGCAGGAAAACTGACTTTTCTAGTCAATTAATATTGGAGTCGAACATACCTGCCAAATGTGGGGTCGACCTCATCTCAGGTGTTGACATGCTAGTGATACATTAGATAAACTACCTAGATCTCACAGCCACCGAGGCCCCAAGTAATATTATTTATGTCTTACCAAAACTTGTGGGTGTGGAGGGTTTAGAGTTACCCACTAAAGGGCGATGTTCTTCTCGACCTCTCCTACGACCACCAGAATTAGGTCGTCCGATATCTTCATTTGGCTGGAACAGTCCTAACTGCTGTCTTTTTTTCTTGTTTTGGTCTTCAATTCTTTTTCTCTGAAAATGTAAAAAGTTTGTCAACTTGAAAGGCAAGAATAAACAAATTTATAAAGTTTACCATACTTTGTTATCATTGTTGAAATAATGTATCATCTATGACTATTAACCTTCATTCTTTTTTGGGGTGACTGAGAAAGTTGATTTTAATTTTCACTTTTGTTTCAAATATTAACAAATTCAAAATTTGTTGTTCAATTCAGACACTGTTATAGCATTTGAGTTCATTTATATTTATAAGAGACAATCTTGATAATTGTTTCTTTAATCTGCATATGAAACAACCTTTATTTTCTTCATTGTGGTGATTATTGATAAAATTTTGATTTTATTATAAAAATTCAAAATTGAAAAAAAAAATTGCTGATATAAGGCTTTTTTTTTTAAATAAATCTGACAATATCGATTGATCTCAAGTTTTAAAAAGATGGGAAATCCATAATTTCTGAGATGTCAAGTTTTCTTAAATCTCACTTCATACCTCTTTTTCTAGCTTTTGCTGTTTCATTGCATTATTGTAATCATCACCAACACTGAAATATAAAGAAAAAAGAAGTTCAAGTATAATACTGTTGATTCATTATTTTTCGTGGATAAATGAATCCACAGTAGATTAACTAGAGGCTCCAAGAAGCCTGTCTTGCTCACCTGTTATATACATATACATAAAATTGACTTATGTTCCTTTAAGATGTCGCTTGATATTGCTTTGGCAGATGAAAGTACCTTAAAAATGCACATCAATTGAAACTATTGATAAAAATATTTGATCAGAGGTTTCTCATACCCAGATTTACCCGATTCACGTATAGTCATAAAAAATTTAAACTGATTAATTAAAATCTTATTTGTAATGCTCAATGATCCAAACAGTGAAGTGAAAAAACAATAACAAGGGAACTTTACACTTAAAACTTTTATAACCCATCAATCTGAGTATTTGAGTACTTGAATGGAGATCTCAAGTATTATTTCCACCAAAAATTCTACCCCATAGAATAAAGACACATTTTGACTTTATCTTGAAACAACTAAAGAATTAAACAAATTGTAATGAAAAATTATAATACACTAGTTCACTGCATAAGCATCTTGAATAAAGAATACCATTTATAGTTATGATCACCTGTTGACCAACAGTGTTTACACTAAAAAATTTTGTTGAATGCATGGGGGATTGACTGAAAGGATGGTGGTCATGAATTTTGAAGGATGGGAGTCCAAAGTAATGCATGGGCGCACCACTATGCATAAAACCTCTAGGAAAAACACTGCTGTCAGTGACCGATATGGTATCTTTGTGACAACATAATGAACAATACAGCCATAACAAAATTCAAATTTGTTTTAAAACTTGGTCAATTGAATAATAGAATGTCTACAGCAGCCTAATTTTTTTTTATCCAATTTGAACCAAACAAGGACCATTTGGCATGATTGTAGAGGACCTTCCATATATCATTTCTGCTAAGTTTGGTTTTGCAAAATTGAGCAGGTGCTTTCAGAGTAGATGACCAAAAAGGTATTTTCATTAAGGCTTTCATTGGAACAGTGAACCATCAATGCCACCATGTTAACCCAAGGATCAACATTAAATTACGATTTTAATCATCAATCATCAATTACCAGTGTGTAAAGTTTCAAATTATTACACCTTGTATTTTCAAGAGGTTTTTAAAAATTGTCCAATCAAAATCAACATTTAATATAACCAGTTTTAATTAACAATACCCTAAAATTTTGTAAAAACATTGTTAATAAATTGTATTATTATCTGCTTATACCTTCCAGGAGGTCCACTCATACTGTTGTCTCCAAAAGGATCAGATGATGGACTGAAAAAGAAAGAAGAAAAATGTTATTACACAATATGAACAAGGATACATGTATTATGTGAAACAATACATACAACTGAACATTGGACAATGAATCATGAAAACAAGGTCAAGGTCAGACCACCCTGCTAGACAGACAATCATTCACACCAAATATAGTTGACCTATTGTTTATAGTATCTGATTAACTGACAAAATCACGAAAACATAACATTGATAAAGTAAACATAAAAAAGAGGTCAAGGTCATACAAAACCTGCCAGATGGACATGTTTACCTTACATTCACTAAATATAGTGGCCCTACTGCTAATAGTATCTACGAAATAGACTAAACTACAAAAACTAAACAATGTCCAATTAGCCATGAAAAAAGGTCAAGGTCAGATGAAACCTGCTAACAATCTTACCCACATTGGCATCTTTGTAAATGACATCTTTGAGCAAAATATCTTTTTTGATAAAGCCTTGTCTAATATTTAGATAATAATGACAAAATCTCAAAATGAGGCTATTTCAGCAGATTTTGAAGTTTAAAGCCCTATTGACAGACTATTGATCTGTGTGGTTTATAAAAATCCTTGGACAGACTTATGACTTTAGCACATCTGAAGGATATTATTTAATTGATTTATATATATATATATATATATATATATAAAAGTCTTATCATGTGACAACTTTATGACAGACATTCTCCATCGGATAACACATGGTTATACAGGGCTAACACCATAATATATATAATTCGTCTCAAATTTAGCCCAACAATGTTAGATCTTCAAATTTGTGTAAGCAAATTGTTTTTCTTCCCTCAGCAGGATTCCAACCCTTGCTTCTGTGACAATGTGTGTCCAGCACCCTAGACCACTCGACCACCTAGGCTACATTAAAATATAGCTTTCTGTGGTTGATGTAATGTCTTTCCTCGTTGGCTTGATCTAGGGTTGTAACACAGTACATGATGCATAGTGGCAAGTAGATGGAGTACCTTTCAGAACAGCTATTTTGTCTCTCTATATAATATATTTATATATATAAAACAGGGTTCTACAATATATATATACATGTACACTTACTTGATTAAATCCTTTTTGTCAAATACAAATACCATGATGATTTTATCCTATTATTATAATGGAATGGACAAATAAACAAGTCTACACATGTAGTTATACCAATCATTTTGCCAATAGGCTAATTGGATTTTTCTTATTTTCATTAATTACAGGTATATGTGTCACATGATAAGAAATCAATGTTGAAAAGTGATATGTCATATAAGCTCTTATATATGAGTGCTAATGAACTTAAGTAATTAATATTTTCTGTTTAACCTTTAATTATCATGAAATAAAATATTACTGAAATTGTAAACAAATGACAAGGTAAAAAAAGATGTTTTCATACAGTGTGAACTGACCTCACATGATAGTCAATAAATTCATAGGAAGCATTCCTTTTAGAACTAGATAATATATTTATATAAAAAAATAATAGAATAAAATGCTCCACTGGGGTGCAGCTTGATACGACTGCAGAGGTCGAACCCTGAACAGTTGGGGCAAGTATGGACACAACATTCAAGCTTGATACAGCACTGAATTTGGATTGTAATTAAATATTTGACACAGCATAGGTTTCTGACACAGAATGAATGTGGTCTAAGAACTTAAAAAAATTTCAATTTACCTATTCAAACCATATCATTATTATTTGCTTTTATATATAAATCAGAAATAACCAATTTAAAATGGAAAATTTCAAAGAAAAAAATCCCCCCCCCCCAATTTTCTGAACCCCCTTATGATTCATCACCCCAAAACTCAATCCCAGCCTTCCCTTTGTGGTATGGTACCTTGCAGTACAAATTCAGAGAGATCAATACACTTCAACACAAGTTATTGTCTGGAAACTAGAAAAATGCTTATTTTTGGCCCCTTTTTCCTAAACGTTTTGGGCAATTACCCCCAAACTCAATTCCAGCTTTCCCTTTGTGATATGGAACCTTGCAGTACAATTTCATAAAGATCCATACACTTACACACAAGTTATTGTCATGAAACTAGAAAACTGCTTGTTTTTTGCCCCTTTTTGGCCCCTAATTCCTATAATTTGGAGGCAATTACCCCCAAAATCAATCCAAGCATTCCCTTTGTGATATGGAACCTTGTGGTACAATGTCAGAGAGATTCATACACTTACACACAAGTTATTGTCATGAAACTAGAAAACTGCTTGTTTTTTGCCCCCTTTTTGCCCCTAATTCCTAAAATTTGGAGGCAATTACCCCCAAAATCAATCCCAGCATTCCCTTTGTGATATGGAACCTTGTGGTACAATGTCAGAGAGATCCATACACTAACACACAAGTTATGTCTGGAAGTTACAAAAATGCTTATTTTTGGCCCCTTTTTGGCCCCTAATTCCTTAACTGTTGGTACCATAACCCCCAAAATCAATCCCCACCTTCCTTTTGTGGCATTGAACCTTGTGGTAAAATTTCATAGAGATCCATTCACTTAAACTAAAGTTAGAGTGCGAAAACCAATGTGTCTTCGGACGACGACGACGACAACGACGCCAACGTCATACCAATATACGACCACAAAATTTTTTTGCAGTCGTATAAAAAATGAATCAATATCTACTCTCTGACATAAACAATGAATTAAGCAAATTAATTCGAAAAAAAAAAAAATGTATTGGATTAATTCCGATAAAAGAACAGAGTCCCCCGCGTTGCATATATTTGATCTATCCAAGGTACAAGAGCAATAACTAAAAAAACACTTTTTTTTTGTTCTTTAAAACTTTTAATTAAATCTTTAGAGAAATGTGATTTCCATTATAATTTATATTTCCAAAGGGCATAACTCATTAAAAATGTTTGATCAGAACTTATTTTCGAAAGTGTCAAAGACATAGCTGATATAAACCTATGATATAAGTTTCATAAAATTCTGGTAAGAATTGAACACATGAGAGTTCTAACATTGCAATTTTCCATATAATCAATATTTTCAAGGGACATAACTCTTTTAAAAATAATTGATCGGCACTGATTTTTGATCTCGTCAAATACATTGATGATATATACCTATAATATAAATTTCATAAAAATCTGACAAGAATTGTACACATTAGAGCGCTCATAAGGCAATTTTCCATATAATGATTTCCAAGGGCATAACTCTTTTAAAAATTATTGATCGGCACTGATGTTTGAACTCGTCCAAGACATTGCTGATATAAATCTATGATTTAAGTTTTATAAAATTCTAACAATTGTACTCGAGAGCGTTTATAACAATGCAATTCTCCATATAATTAATGTTTCCAAGGGGCATAACTCTTTTAAAAAATAATTGATCTGCACTGATTTTTTGAACTCATCCAAGACATTGCTTATATAAACCTATGATATAAGTTTCACAAAAATCTGGCAAGAATTGTACATGTTAGAGTGCTAACTAGACTGGATTGAGGGATGCACGCACAGTATTTCTAGTTGCACGGGGGGACATATAAATATGTTTCACTGATGCAGCTACCTGTTGGGAAGTCTTATTTTTCATTTCTGTTAAAATTATTTTGGACTTGTTAAGTATGACAGCGCACACCAAACAGTGACAGGATAGTCAACCTAATGAGGGTGGTCACTTAGTGGTGGAAGTAGAAGTAGAAGTCTTTCACAAAAAATTTACTACCTGAACATTATCAATGTTTATACTTTGATATTTTTATTAATTCTTAGTACTGTTATTTAAAATGTGTCATTTTTATTCTAAAATTCAAAATTTGACACTGTTCATTTCCATTTTTTACAAAGGATTTAATCCAAAGTTATGCTATCCATGGGAATTTAAGCACTACTTTTTAAAAATTTTATGCTGAGTTTACACTTACAAAACATGGAAACTTATCTCTGAATGTCATGATGTCTTATTTGCTTTGAAGTCATGATTACTATATATAATTGATTCTTCTGTCTGGTGCTGCCATTTGTTGTTTGCTCAATGTTCAGTGGAAAATGTTTTATGCATGTTCAGGATGAGAACAAATTAACAATAAATACAATAGTTAGGTTCTGCATAAGCCATAAGGGGGTCGACAAGGATGATAGACAGGAAATTGAAAAATTTGGAAAATTGATAAAAATCATCATTATGGGGCAATATCTCTTACAAGCAGTCAACCCAATATTTCAGCCCTCTTGGGAAATTTGAAGATCTTGTCCTGTTGATCATTTTTGTTTTTAACAGTTTTATTTATCTACTATATTTTTGGCCAAAAAGGCCAAATTTGGTAGAGACTGTCAATCAGGGGCAATAACTCCTATAAGGAGTCGACTGACAATTTTATAGATTTTGACCTGTTGATCATATTTGCTCTTTCCAAATTTCTTTATCTACCATTTTTTTTGCCAAGAATGCAAAAATTGGTAAATATCATCATGCAAATTTCAATCCGAAAACCATTTTTCAAAAAAATATCTATTCTTAGTAACAGTGAACTATTGACCCAAAAACCAATAGCCTTCTTCTGGTACCCTTCCTTATTGTTTCCAACACATTGATAGATGGATGGACAGACAGACAAAGTGATTACCATTTATATCTTTTAGATTTTTTTTTGTGGAGCACATCTACACGTGTAATTAAATTATGCTTTTCAAATATGAAGATATGAAGAGTTGTAAGTACATCTCCTTTAGACCATAACCAAAGACACTCATGATATTTGTCTTTTTGACTTACCCTATACCAAATTATATATATATGACTCATAGGTGAGTTATTAGGACTACGGTAGTACAGTAAAAAATCAATATCTAACAGACAAAAGCTACTTCAAACAGATAATCGTATATACAGTGGATGACATCTGGCATACAATTCAATTTTTAATGCACCAACATAGCACATGGTTATTCATATTCTACAAGTTGAAAGCATAATTTTGTTTGTCAGGTTGCATTTTTTGGTTGTCAAATGTTTGTACATTGCAAAGAGTCAAATCAAGGTCAAAGGTCCCAGATTGTCTTTTCATTAATCATCTGACAACATCTATCAACTAAAATCATATTTATTGGTGTGAAAACATTCACTGTAACAGCTCATAGAACTTTATACGACCGCAGACGTTGAACCCAGAACAATTGGGGCAAGTATAAACACTACATTCAACCTTGATAGAGCTCTGAATTTGGGTTGTGAGTAAAAATTTGACACAGCATCAGTTTCTGACACAGAATGAATGAGGTCAAAGAACTGAAAAATTTGAAATTGGACTTTTACCTATTATGGTCCAATATCAAAAATCTAAATACAAGGTTAGATATAATTAAGTACACCAAGAATTTTATTTATTTATTTATTTATCATTGGAGAATATTAGCTATGTTTTTTTAAAGTGGTTTGCTTGATAAAAATATCAATCTGAAAATTAATTTTTCTATGAAATTAACTTTTTGGCCCCTAATTCCTAAGCTGTTTGGCCCATAACCCCTAAAATCAATCCAAACCTTCCTTTATGAGCTATGGAGCCTTGTGGTACAATTTCATAGAGATCCATACACTTATACACAAGTTATTGTCCTGAAACTAAAAAAATGATTGTTTTTGGCCCCTTCTTGCTAACAGTTAGGAAAATAACTCCTAAAATCAATCCCAACCTTCCTTTTATGGTATGGGACCTTGTGGTACAATTTCATAGAGATCCATACACTTATTCTCAAGTTATTATCTGGAAACCAAATTTCTTCGGACGGAGACAATAAAGTTGACAACGTCATAACATTATACAGCTGCAAAAAATTTGTGTTCTTTAAAATTTTTGTATTTGGAAATAAAAGATGAGCCATTTTACATGAGAACATTAGGACAAGGGAAGTTTCTTTTCTTAAATACTGTAAAAATGCAAATCCAGAAACTTATTGCAAGGTTTTTACTAATGTGAATAATACACTGGGTGAGTATCGCAATAAAAAAAACTTGCATTTTGATATCTGATATATATATATATATCTGTATGCAGCTTTTCCTGAAATAGCAATAATAAATCTTGCATTTTTGCCCATTCTTTAAAAATAGCAATATTAATGCATGCAATAATATTTCCAGATAAATTATATCTGAATTTACAGTAATCTACAGGGGGATTTTATATAAAAATATGGAGATGTGGTATGATCTCCAATAAAACAACTATAAACCAGAGTTCAAATGAAGTGGATGTAAGCAATTATAGAGTCTTTTCTGAGCACAATACAAGCAAAATTTCCATAATGCTTCAATAGTTAAAATTTGGTGGAGGTGAGAACCCAAGTCAGATCAGTGTGGATATTTGAGTTCTCATGTGGCGTCCCAGGGAGACTGGTAGTAATTGGGGTATTAATTGTTTTGGCCCTTACTCTGGGCCTGACAAGTTCTACAATTTGCAGGTTTGGAAAATGTGGTAAGTGGTAACAGTTGAGTCTACAGATGGGTAACTCTGGGACCTCCTTCACCTCATTTTTTAGAGCAGGTACATGTATTAGTAAAATACGGAAAAATGAAAGTAAATATCTTCAAATTTTTGCACTGAAGACGGTATTCTGGTAATGAACTGTCCAAATTTCATAAAATTCCATGAGAGCTTGACAAAGTTATTGATGTCTAAAAAAACTTTAAACACAGACTGAATCTAAATATTGACTCTGCCGAAGCCGATGAGGGATTCTAGGATCGCTATGTCTAGCTTTCACGACATAAATGTCGCAGACTTGACAAAAATGTGAGACAGACAGCAAAGAATGACAACCTTTGTTTTACAGAGTTCTGACTTCAGACAAACCTGGGACAATGTTGTAACAGCATAACATAAGAACAAACTATAATAAATGTCTCCCCTCTATGTAATTTTAATAGTAAAATGCAAATGTTGAAATTAAAATAGCAATATTTAAACATTCAAAGGTGCAGGGTTAAATAAACTCTATTAAAATGAGAAATGCCAATGCTTATTTTACATGTAAACTATGCAAAAGCTTCACAGTCAATAAACCCTGATGAGGGGAGAGACCATATTATCTCAACGAAAATGAGACTTGCAAATGCTAATACAAGTGCATACCAAATATCATTGACTTATTAGTGGTTCATCTAAAACTGACCTAACCACAAACTAACATGTAAATTATGCAAAATATTCTAAGTCAAAGGACCATGACTTGTAGCGCTAGGCCAAATAATATCCATGGGAATGAGATGTGCCAATGCTAATACTGCACACCAAATATCATTGACCCACCACTAATGGTTCCCCTTAAAATGACCTAATCACAAAATAATACATTGTTGACACTTTGGCTGCCAGAAATAACTTTTAGACTTCAATGAAGCAAGACAAAAATTAGTAACTAAGAACTATCTCGACTCATCTGATCAGCACTAAGAACAACAAAAAAACTTATTTATGTGATAGTAGCGGACAGGATATTCTTCTTAGGAACTATGCTGCCAAGAGAAGTTTATATTGGTCAGACCAACTATTAAACCAAATTTTACAATCCTACATTTGACCATTTTACTTTGCAACAAATAGAACTACATGTACCTGTAGGGAATAAATGTATAGTTATGCTACATATATCATCGCTTTGTATCCTGCCACTGTTGTGAGAGAATGTTTATATTCAAATGACTGTTTAAATCAAAGGTGTTCTGTTGGTCGTCCGCTATTAGCCAAGTGGATTTCATTATCAAAATTAAATTCAACAGTTAGGAAGTAAAAAACTCAACAGAGGTGGATTATTAAATGGAGCTTCATATATGATAAATGCATAGACTTTTTACAAGTATCACTCCAAAAGTTGGCTTGCAAGCCTCCCCCTAAATGCCATTTTCTATTCTAATCCTGGATCCTCACCTGCTAAACATATAAGCATAATTGTTAAATTGCAGGATAAATCAATATTTTCTCACATTGTAGGAAATTTTTATTCACAAAACTCCAAGGTTTGAATGGGGTATAGAATTATGGTCATTCCTTTGTCTTCTCCTGACCAGCAGTTAAATCCTTGCCAAAGTATGGCATCTGTTAAGCTGTTTAGGAGGTATAAATTTTCAGTAACATTCAGTCAAAATGGGGATGCTAAATCTAATGCCTAGTGAAGAGAGTACCATGCTCTCTGCATGTTAAGAACCCTTGCAACAACTCTTTCAGGGATCCATAAGTGGCCTGTTGAAAGGTTAAATGTCTGTCCCTTACCAATTAATATACCTTCATTTTCCAGTGGCATTCAAAATTTTTCAACTTTCATCTTGGTTGATATGCTATTTCAGGGTCTACCTATTGTATTAATTGTTTCTTTGTTTACTTCATGAATATGCATGAAATATTTGCCACTGGACATAAAGCAAACAACAATCAATCAATCTTAATCTCAATACAACAGACCAACTAAACAGTTTTAAGTAACTATCAATTAAGGTCAAGCTTGCAGGCCTTGAATACTTTTAATATAATGTACTATTTCAAGGTTGCACATAAATGGTTACCTTTTTATATATTTATACAAACATACTGTATGTATGGCCTCGAATAGAACCAGTACTTCCATATATATATGTATATTTATTTTCTGTAGTCTCATCATACAAGTACATGTATACATTTGGAATGACTTGCAATTACAGCCTATTGTTATACACTTAGATAAATTGTGACAATGAACCTTATAAAATTATACTCACTACAATAAGTACTGATTATTTGGAAAAAGAGTGATTTTGTAATGTCAAAATGTCAATATGTAGGTTAACTAGCACTTATCTTATTTTCCAAATTAAAGATATTACAAGACCAAAGTAGAGTTTACATGTACCTGTGTTGTTCCTGGGGACTCCATTTTCCCATTTTATAGCTGGGTTCCATTTTATCAACAGAATCTTATATCTTTAAAAAAACCTGTGACAAAAGCCCAAAACAAGTCATCAGGAAGTGTAATCGGCCATCTTAGTTTGTGACGCTAAATGGTTGTCAACATGCTATTACAGGTAACTCTATTGATCCAGGTATTTACTTTATCAAAACGTTTTACTGATCCAGTCTTATTGATTCTGTAATATCATCAGCTGATAACACTCAATTCACATCCTTTACTATGCACTCTTAGAATAAATACAGATATTTCTTAATATCTGATATAACTAAGAAATAATGGATCTGATGTATCGATATACCTGTGTATATGTATATATATATATAGACACAAAGAAAGGTTTCATTTAAATTACTTTGTCACATATTTCAATGTGTAATAACAATAGTCTATAAAGTAAACAAAAACCATACAATAATGAACTTGTCACTGCAATGAATACTACTAGTGCTTGAATGCTTTTGGTAACAGTTTAAATAATTGTCAATTTAAATAGCTTATGCAAAATAGTTTTTATATTTGCTGAACTGAAGACAAAAATAATTAAGACCAGTGTAACAAGATTTAACTTCAATCCACATTGTTAATTTGTACCAAAAGAACTTCAAGCCAGTCTTTTTTTTAATAATATAGATGACAACATTTTTCTGGAGATATTTCATATTACATTACTGATGAGTACTGTCACATTTTCTGTTCTCATAGCAGTTTAGTACTAAATCTTTGCCTTTTTTTGCGTATTTGAAAGCATACATACCGTTACTGCAATACTTCATTTTCAAAACCATAAACATTGGTGCATATGCTCAATGTATAATAAATACATACAATACAGTGAAACATCAACAAACCATAATTCGGTCAAAACTCATTGCAAACTGTAATCCTGTGCTTCAAAAAAATCTAAGGTCATAAACTAAAAAAATTAATTAAAAAAAAGCAATTCAGGCCTGCAAGCTTCAGTTGGTCCGCTGTAGAATTGAAGACTGTTGTATTGACATTCAGTCGTGAGGGGAGCTGGAAAATTTTACATTATATTGCCATTTTTGTGAGTTTGAAATATTTGATAGAACAAGATGCAATTTTTTAAGACTGATGCTCAAAATAAGAAAGTAGAATTTTTTTGGAAATAAATAACAAATTTCAATTTATTTGTTGATAATTCAGTATTGGACTTGGTTTTAAGAAAGATCTGCAGAATTGAAGTTATAATTTTTTCCAGGTTCAAAATTGATTCTTAAATGAGGGTGAAAAAGGTAACTTACAATTTAAACACAAGTGCACATGCTGTTATGTCTCTTCTGCTTTACTGATTATATTCAATTTTGTGTTGAAATCTTAAAGACTTTACTACCAATATCACCTAAACTAAACATTATCAATGATTCATAAAAATGAATTTAAAGTCTGATGAACTCTGCCAGACCACTAAGTTCTGCTTGCAATCATTTTAAACCATGGAGTGTGCATACGTTTAATGCAAATTTACAAGAATTGATGAAAATTCTTTCAAATAAAACTTCTATAAATTTATAAATTACAATATCATTATAAAGTGCAATATTACAAAACTTGAATACTAAGTATTTACTGACAAATTATGGGTTTTACACATTTTTATGGAGTGCATGTGAACTGCTTTTAAAAGCCAAAAAAATTCAAGAATAGCTTTTCTGATGTGTAAGTTAGTCTATTGTCTTTAGAGGACTACTGTTTGATTTTCGGAAGGAGGGGAAGGGTAATGGAGCATTTAATATTAACTTGGAGCTACAGCTACAATGCATCTGTATTTAAACTTTTCAATAAAATTGTATACTTTTATCCACAATTTTTATCGTATCCCCCAAGTTTTGTGTATATTAATTTTCATTTATGTCAAAAGGGGGATAACTCTTTTTGTTTATTATGTGTATGCAGCTGTTAGTCCCCACCCTTTCCAATGTAACATTTCTTTTTAGTTTAGAATTATATTTTAATAAAAAAAAAATTTAGCACTGGTTCCTTTATATTTTAATTATGGCTGCAAACTGGTTTACAATGAAAAAACAACACAAGGATACACATACACTAAACACAATATTGGATTATGCAAGGTAATATATCAGTGAGAGGTTTTCTTAGTTACAAGAAGTTTAGACATCCTAAAGTACAAATAATAAACTGTTATCTTGCTTTTACATTGAGTTTTGAAGGATAAGCATATCTTTCTTTAACAATGAGGATAAATATAAATAAAGGTTTATCTAAAAAAAAAATTCAAGCAGAACTGTAAACAATATTTCAAATTTACAAAATATGACATTTACAGACTGTTATACAGAGACAAAATGAGATTAATCATTCTGTCAAAATCTACTTTTTTGACAGCATTTTATGAAATATACTGCTTTGTGCTTATTATTGACATGACTAACATGGCTGCTGCATGCAAACAACATAGTGGCTTATTGTCATGGAAACATTTACAAATTAAAAAAATCCATTCAATTCCATTGCCTGCTTATTTTTAATATTTAAGAAACAACAATAAATAATGGAATATTTACCTTGGGGGTTCTCCAGCATACATGTCTGATTTATCTTATGTTCAAGACAATAATTACTCCAAATCAATACCAGGTAAAAATAGTCAATATTATATGATGGATCATTATAATCTGCTTTTCCTATAATCCTATGGTGTTAGTGTACATAAATACACTAGTTATTGTTTACAATAGGTATATAGGTATTAATTTCTCATGTAAATTGTTTTAATGTTAACAATGACACATTTCAGGTCAAAACAAGCAAGCGTATTAAATTATATTTAAAAGGGTTTTACCATTATTATTACCAAGTCATATATTCTGACACAGAATTGATTTCCATTAGATTTAAACAAAGGTTTTCAATGTTCTTCTTCAGTTCATTCAAATCATTTTGAGAAATGAACATCGGATGATTATTTCTACATTTCTATATAATTTACAAAATTGTATAAACAACATCAACTAATTTTGTGTGTGTATCGTATCACATTGATACATGTATTAGTGTCAATTAATTATAATAAGCAAAGAGTATTATTGATCAAATATCTTTTAAGTACTGTAAATTCAGAAATTATTGCGATTTTTGAAGAAAGGACAAAAATGCAAGATTAATTATTGCCATTTCAGGAAAACCTGCATGCAGATATAAGTTTCGGCTATTCGAATGCAAGTTTTTATTATTGCAATACTCACCCAGTCGCATTATTCACATTAATAAAAACCTCACAAATATTTCTGAATTTACAGTATCATTTAGAATTAAATATAACTAAAGGCTCTAAAGAGCCTGTGTTGCTCACCTAGGTTTATGTATAACAAGCATTCTGAGAGTATTACATGGCAATACATGGTCCCCTACCGGGTAAAAATTCATTATACTGGAACAAAATGCTAGCTTGTTCTATAACTTGTCATGGTTTAAACAAAAAGAAAATATCAAGTCAATATCTTCAAGCATGACAAAACAGTGTGGAAAACTGAATATATGAGTGAATTTTTTCAAGTCCATGGATCATAACTCTGCACAAAATTATCAGACCGAAACAAAAATTTGAACTTGATCTGTAACTTGTCATGATAAAACTATATACCAATTGTCAATCAATATCTTCAAGCATGATGAAAAAAGAGCTGCGCCATGAGCGCATTATACGCCCGTCACTTTTTCAAAGAATAAAGTACCATAACTCCTCAATGTCATATCAGAAATTTATAAAAAACTAAAGGGAGGTTATTTTAATAGATATAAACCAGTCATCAAAGTTTAATGAAAACTGCTCAAAGCACTTTTGAGTTATTCCCCGAAAACTGGAAAATCCCCCTTTTTTAATGAATTATCAATAAAACCCCACAACTCAGAAACGTAAAATCTAAAATTTATAAAAATCAAAACGGAGCTCACATCAAAAGATATAAACAATTCACCAAAGTTTCATGATAACTGCTCAAAGCATTTTTGAGTTATAGTCCGAAAACTGGAAAATCCCCCATTTTTATAGAATAAAACCCCATAAATCAGAAACTTAAAATCTAAAATTCAAAAAAATCGAAAGGTAGCTCACGTCAATTGATATAAACAATTTACCAAAGTTTCATGAAAACTGCTCAAAGCATTTTTGAGTAATTGTCCGAAAACTGGAAAATCCCCCTTTTTTATTGAATAAAACCCCATAACTTGGAAACGTAAAATCTAAAATTCAAAAAATTAGAAAGGGAGCTCACATCAATAGATATAAACAGTTCAACAAAGTTTCATGAAAACTGCTCAAAGCGTTTTTGAGTTATTGTCCGACATGTTGACGACGGACGGACGGACAATGGTATACCATAATACGTCACGTAAATGGGCGTATAAAAAAGTGTGGAAAACCTATAACACTCTAACATTAGATATGATTAATAGTTCTCTAAAATTAGATATGATGTAATACAATGTATATCTATTTTCAAATTACAATCAAATATAATTAATAGTTCCAAATACTTTTTCTTTCATTTGTCACAAACTAATATAGATATGTAACTTATCTATAAAATGTCAACAACTTTTATCTACACAATGTAATGTAATGAAATATATACCTTAATAAAAATAGATTATTATCTAATTAAAGGATTTCACTTAATAAAAAATATATATATATATATATGTAGCATTCAGAAAATTAGTTTATACAAAATAACATATAATTAGCCTGCCACAAAATTCCTCAAACAATTTACCAAAGAATGTCTTTTAAAAAATGAGTTATCTCCCTTTGTACAGATTATATGGTTTAACATAGTACTCTAACATTAGTTATGGAGTTTTTTGATGGACCATAACTCTTGACTAAATCATCACACCGGAACAAAATTCAACTTGATCTATAACTTGTCATGATAAAACTATATACCAAATATCAAATCAATATCTTCAAGAAGGAAGAAAAAGAGTGTGGAAAGCTGGACAGACGGACGGACGGACAGACAGATGGACAGAGTGCAAACCTAAAAATAAGAAGATGTGATATAATTGCCAATGAGACAACTCTCTGATAGAGACCAAATGACATAGAAGTTATGTGCATCTTCAACAATGGACATACTTCAACATATTGGATAAGAATAGATTACAGAACAAAACATATTTTTTTTGTAGATCTTGTATTGCTGTTAATTTTTTCAGTTCACAGTTCCTCAGAGTCTCTATCTGCTTTAGTTTTTACCTAAAAATTAGGAAAGGGTAAGAAATTGTCATTTAAGGACAATCACTCCTATTAAGAGTCT